CCTTCCGTTTGAGGTGTATCGCTATTTGGCGGCGAAGTTCCCTGCTGTTCTGCTTCTCTTGCAGCAAGTGCTGACTGATGCGCTGCGTGGTGTCTTCCCTGACTCTTGGAAAGAAACGAGGATGGTACTGCTGTTCAAGAAGGGCGATCCAGAGCTCCTCAAGAACTGGCGACCTCTCTCGATGATCAATAGCGATGCTAAGCTGTTCACCAAGATGTTAGCCAACCGGTTCAAACGTATCCTCTCCCGATTGATTACGCCGTACCAAACAGGCTTTATGCCTCACCGGCTCATCTCGGACAATGCGTGGTTGAACCAGACGCTGATGACCAACCTCCGTGATGCAGCTCCTCAGGATCCCAATATCGCCGTACTCTTGGATCAAGAGAAAGCCTATGATCGGGTCAATCCGACATATCTGGCGATGGTTCTTCGTCAGTTTGGCTTCCCGGCATCGTTGGTATCCAGTGTGTCAAGTCTGTTCTTTGGTACTCGTATCTCCTTGTCAATCAATGGGTGGTTGGGCGCCCCCATCGATCAACAACGTGGTTTACGACAGGGTGATCCGTTGTCCCCTTTGCTGTTCAACCTGGCTTTCGAGCCGTTCCTTAGAACCATCTTGGCCTGCCCTTCTCTTCAAGGCGTCTCAATGTCTACCGCTGTCCGTGCTCCTCTCGCAGGGCGTATCTCTCGTGCCTCCTCTCTCGTGCCGGTCCAAGGCGACCATGATCTCCTACGCGCTCCGGCGACCCCTCCACGGGTGAAGCTGTTGAGCTATGCCGATGATCTGGAAGTCTTCCTGACTTCTACGGCGGAATGGCCTGTGCTTCTGTCTCTTTTGTCGCTCTATGGCAAAGCGTCCAACGCCAAGGTCAATTTGGAGAAAACCGTGCTGTTGTCGCTGTCAGGCGAGGCTCATGCTGATTGGAAGCGAGTGACGGAAACGTCTAACATTGAGTGGTACGACAGCTCGTCAGTTGGCTCTGTGAGGTATCTAGGTTACCCTCTGTATCATACAGAGGAGCAGTTGCAGCATTTCCTGAATTCCATTACCGTGAAGATTCAACGTCATTGCAATCTGCTCACCAAGCGGCAGCTATCCATTCGTGGAAAGGGTTTAGTGGCGAATTCCCTTCTACTGTCTCGCTTGTGGCATCTCCTGCGTGTGGTTGTGGTTCCTGACAAGTGGCTGGAGGAGATACAGCGCGTGGTACGCCAGTACATCGTCTCGTTTTGGCCTACTGTGGCTTGGGATTCTCTCTGCCTTCCTAGGAAGCATGGAGGTATTGGTCTGGTTGACATCAAGAAGCAACATCTCGCCTTGCATCTCATATATGTCAAGCGTCTGCTTCGTCCCAGATCCCCAGCGGATTTCCTCACTCCCTGGCTGATGTATACATTCCATGTATACTCAGGTCATGCTACTGTGCTGCCTTTGCTGCTATACCCACGTACCTGCTGGCCGCGTGTGCGGAAATGCCCTCACTTGGAGCATCTGGCTCGTCTACTCACTCGTTTGCCTCCCTTGACTCTCACTCCTGAGTGGCCGTCTTGGTGGCTCCTAGATCTGCCCTGGTTACAAGTATGCTCCCTGTCTCCCACAGCGACTTTGCCTTTGACTAGGAACAGTGACAAACTGCCACCTCATGCCTTGATTGCCAGCCTCTTGAGCGTGCTCCCCAACTCCCACATCTTGGTTTGCGTGCGTCCCCGTGATACTGCTGCATTGCAACATCTGTTCAATGCCTTGTGCCCCATCGAGGGTCCTCCTGTTTGGGTTGTCCCTGCTCCTCTCAGGTCCGTCATGGCCTTCACCGCTCCAGAGCGAACCGCACTGCTGGAGAGTTCCACTACCCCCTCTCCACCCACGGCTAGCTTTTCGCATTGGTTCATCACCACTGGCCCTCGCTCAAAAGCTACAGTGGACAAGATCACTCTCGGGGCGTTACGCCGTTCCTGGCATCCGTCATTTGACATGTTGCGTCGCCCAGCCCATCCTCCTGGCTATCGCCCCCCACATCTCCTGCTTCCTCCTCACCTCTGGCGTGATTTCTGGTCTCTCTGTCTCCCGCCCAAGGCATTTACACCGTGGTGGCGTTTGCTGCATGGACATCTCTCGGTGCAGGTTCGCCTGCACTCCATGAACCGTGTGAAGTATCCTTCCCCACTGTGTAAGATGTGTCATGAAGCAACTGAAGATGAATACCATATGGTCATTGGCTGCAGTATGAAGTCCCTCTTCTGGTATGAGTTTGTCTCTCACCTTGGTCTTGCTGATCTGTTCCCTACGGACGAGGCCATCTGGATTGGGTTGACCACCCTTCACGGCCAGGACAACAATCCTCTGGACATTTCCATCTTGGAACTTCTCGGTGCTGCCTTCTCATCTATCTGGCAACATCATTGGGGCTGCACAATTGATGGTAAATCTTGGATCACTCGGGCTGTTTTCTCCTCTTTTCTGGAAGATCATTCCAAGTTAATTTCTTCTTTCTTAGACATGTAAGACCCTTATGGCACCTTACTGTCTATAATATAAATAAAAAACACATTTAAATACAAAAAAAAAAATTTTGATGTAATACATGCCATAATAAAATTCTGCATTTTTGAGGTAAAAAACGCGATCGCTTGAATTTCGGTGAAATCCATGAGGCACCTCTCATGGCTTTGAGTCGATTTTTGGCCATATTTTTTCGACCCCAAAAAAGCTGAGCAAAGGTGTCAGTAAGTAAATGCTAGATGAGAGAGAATCTTTGATGCTATGCTGGCAGCTTAAAACAACTTCCAGCATGAGAAAATACTGCTAAAATGTACCCAGGTCTTGCTATGTTTTGTAAATTTTGAGTGATAAGAGGTAATGCAGATATGCCGTCAACCTGTACAAGGATTGCCCTCCATTCATACACACGTGGAATTGTAGTAGAGGAGTTTGATGCGCAGCAATAAGTCGTTTATAAAGAAATTTCTTGTCAAATTTATTTCATCTGTATGATCCAGCAGGCATACTGTGAAAAATGCAGTGTCTTTCTCAACGTGAAAGCGTTTACACTCATGTCAATCCCAAGTTTCACATGCATGGCATACACTACGTAAATGTTGACTTCCAATTGTAAATAGAGAGCTTATCCAAAGGATCTGTTTATTTTTAGAAGCTTTGTCTAGTAGACCGTCATGTATATCAGAAACTTGTTTTATCATATTATGATCAGCATAGCTAATTATCAATGTTATTTTTATCTATTCCACAAAGATCCACATCCTATGAGATTATGTAATCAGCATTTGTTGCACCTGATTATTTTTAGCCCATCATTACAATGTGTACTGGATCAACCAAATAGACCGTGGCGCCAAGCTACGCCGAATTTCAAGTATTCCCTCAATATTATTTTTAGCGGACACAAAACAAAGGTTCTGTTCCTGTTCAAGCAAATGAAGATGGTCGCTCTGCCTAAAAGCTTATGAGGAAATGTACCAGAAGAAGATGCTATTTTTTATTGGAGATAATCAAACAGAACAGATCGGTGCATAGATATCCCTGATGGCTCTTGAATGTTGCGCATGAGTGTTCAGTTTCTGAAGTGCATGGCTTCTCATTTTCGACTGAATCTTTGTTGTAGCAAAGTTGAGGATCCATAGCACAAAGTTTACCCGTTTTGCCTTCTAAAGTTGTTGCATGCTAGTGTTGCATCGATGCTACATTTGACGGTAGGTACTTGGGCTAGTACGTTACTGGTGATTATGGCAAGCAACAAGGAAAATGCAAGTAATAACTGACGGATCATACTTGGGATGTTTTGTTGCGGAAAAAGAGGAAAAATACAAATGACTCACGCAGGCTCTTATAGTATACCGTTTCTAATAGCAACATTCTTGACATTAATCTCACCTTTATTCAAGCCGTTAATCTACAAGACTTGTTGTATATGAGCCAGATGCACTTGAAAGAGGTGAGCTGGCGTTGTTTATTATTTGTTTGTGGAATGCCCTGTTTTGATAGTAATAAGAGGGCTTGTTCATCGTTATGCAGCATTGCGGCGTGATTTTGGGATTGATTTTGACCCTGTCAGGGTTTATGACAGATCGTCTTGATAAACGCCATAGATTACTACTCTGATAAAGCACTAAAAAAGAATTGAATACGCCCATTTTGTATTGCCAGTAAACATAAATATAATGCGATTTTTGTTTATTTATTTGTTTGTCAATGCTTGAGTTTTTTGAGGGGTAAGGGGAAGCTATTTTAATTTTCGTGATATAATGGAGAAAAAGGGTCGAGAAAAGAGTCCTCTATTCTTTTCATTTCCATTAGATGATGTTGCTTGAAGATACACATGAGGTCGCATTACAAGCATAGCCATATCTTGATATGAATGTTCGGCAATTGTATGTGGCATTCTGAGAGCAATACTCTTGATCATTCATTTCTTGGTGCTCATGATAGCAGATTCTTTGGGCATCACGATGACATTGCAAACCACCATTCAACAAGAATTGATCACAGTAATTCCAGAGTTCTGCAGTACAGTTGCTGGAAACATCTGGTACAAGTAATTGACCAACGGAGACTTGAATGAAGACAATCAAGAGGGAGAAGATTTGCATAAAGTCGACCATATTGATATAAACTAAAGATCTTTTGTAGAGAGAAAAAATAAATAAAATAAAAACGAATTATTGAGTCGTCTTCCTTTTATAAGGATGAGAACGGCCTTGTTGTACAATGATCAATTACATAATACGTTGGTATATAGTAAGATCCTTTTGCTAATTGAACTGATGGGCACATCAGATCATTTACGACAAGCTTGTCCACAGGCAACTCATTTATCCATCATATCAAATCTATTTTTAGGCCTGTATTCATACAAGATAGTTATATATGTCTTTTTTTTTTTTTTTTTTTCTTTATTCCAACCAGTTTTTTTCAAAATAAATGTTGTAGATATAATTGTGCGATGATAGTATATGATATAGGGCTTTTTTTTTTGTAATTGTTATGCGCTTAGTAAGACTGCAGGGCTGTTGCTTGTCGTTGGAGGAGGCGTAGACGAAGAGGCAGATGTTAGAGAAGAAACCGGACCAGCCGGTGAAGCCGGGGAATCAATGAAATGTTGATGAAAAGTACTGTTGCTTGATGATTTGGGTTTTTTTATTTGTAATTGTTCAGGCTCATCGTCGATTCTTCTTTTATGGCCATAATTTTCGGTTTTTTCTGGTTCCTCTTCTTTCGCCTCCTCCTCTTTAATGGGTATAATTTCGTTACTATTTTCTTGCTCAAAGAGCCATTCGTCAGCAGTAGATGACATGGTTAACATAGCTTGCTGTCTACGTACATGATTCCACAATCTAGAACATGTTTAAAATAATGTTCGTGTGGGAAATACCAAGTGTTTTTTCATTACCTCGTGGTGAGTAAAATCTTTCTTAAGGGTAATTCATTTCGTGGAATAATCGATGGGTATATTTTATATTGACTAGCATCAGCTAATCTTTTCATTAAAAGTTCTTTTGTGTTTTCATAATGATGTTGTTGTTGTTGATTTACAATGTCCATATTATAAAATTAAGAAAAAAAAAAAAGAAGAAATAAGAAGAAAGCGAAAATACCAAAAATAAACTGTAGTAAAATTAAAAAGAACCAATGATCACCTAGGTAATGCGCGGAGATGAACATCTAATTAGCTCAATGTTAGAGGTGTTAACCCAATTTGATGGGCAAAAAGGTCAGAATGGCTTATCATTAATTCAAAATGCAATTTATATGCTCATTGTCATAATCATATAATATCATGATGATGTTGTGCTCCAGGGATTATACCTTTTTCTTGTATTCCCCGCCTTGTTCATAATGTATGATGAAAGGAGAAGGAGGGGTAGGGTACATATGGTAGTACTCAAATTGTGATGCGCCTCATCATAGTTTGTGCAACAAAAAAGAGATATTGCCGAAATGTTGTACTCATATATGAAAATCTTAATCTCGATTCTGATTGAACATTCGGCCAAAGATGATTGATCTGCTGATCGCATTTATGGTCATATTGTACATTCAATGTGGTCTCGAACCAGTTTAGTATCATAAATGTAATGCAGTTGCTGTGATCATTTGCAAAGTGAGACTAGACACCGTTCATGTAAGCTCTGGTATAGCTAGCAACGAGCGAAGGGTTTCCTAATCTACATTACAGACAGAGGATTTCATATTATGGCAACCAGAAGCGAATGCCATCAACTCCGACCATGGTGATAAATGCATCTCCATGGCAACCAGGAACCAAATGTTCAACTTGACATCGGATACTTTTACAAATGTAATGTATTAAAATTTACCAAATTAAGAGTTTGGTTACTGAGGATACTGTATAAAGCTACCATAAGCAAACAAATTACACAATTTTCAATACAAAATATGCATATCAGAACAGGCAAATCATCCCTTTTCTTTGAAGCCCCCAAAATCTCAAGCCAATCTGCAATAAATCTTTTATTATATGCCAGTCAGAGTTTCATATATACAATACGAAATGGCTCGGAGCTGCACGGACCATTCAGTTATTGAGACCTAGAGTGGCTACAATGAATGCTACACCAAAGATGATCTTCAGTTTATGTAAAGACATGTTCGGAGATGGAGTACCACTATCGAGGGAGGACAATGCTTCTTTCGTGGCATGCATGGAAGTCTAAATTAACATGGATGAATTTTGTGTTACATATTGCATCGCATATATATTAGCATAAACTTTACTTTAGCTAATCCGATTTGGTGATTCTTCATGTCAAAAACCAAGTAGGTTGATCTGAGTACCGAGTCCCCAATCAATATCCAACCTTTTTCATTCATTTTTTGACTTGTGCCTGTATTCATCCACGGAGCAATTCCAAACATGCACAGGCCTTTCTCATCAGGTCCTCCTACTCCAGCTCCCCCAACAAGAGGTAAAATCAAGTCATTGATAGGAATCACAAGTCTTGTTTTCTCCATGGTAAATTCTAGAAAATAGTCAGTGGTTGCATCGCCTCTAATTCCACAATCAATCAAGTATACGCCTGACATTTGATCAAGTACAACGTTCCCTGCCACCATGCGTACTATCTCATCTGCAAGGGCATGATCCATATATGTCAAGGTGGTACCAGTGTCGATAATCAAACCTCGTACAGATGCAAATGTACTGTTGAGCATGACCTCACTTTGCGTGGTCTCCTTGACAATCCGAACCGACTTTCCACCAACCATCCAGTAAGTGTTTTCTCCCCAAACTGGCTCATACGCGATTTCTCCCACATATTTTTCCGGATTTGTACCACCCAGCAGCAATTCACCTGTCCAGCCTTGATCGTGCACTGATCCCATACTGATGGAAAACACTGGCTCTTGGATCAGGCCCTCCTTGTGTAATCTGAAGAGAAATGGATCATACTTTACATTTCCGGTAGTCAATGCTGGATAGCCTAATCCAAGGATTCCATTGGAGGGGGAGCTCGACATCAATATAAGGTCTTGAGTAGAAGAGGCTAATCCGAATATTTGCTGAGAGATGTGTGCGTCTCCTAAACGAACATCGTCTTTTGCAAACGTGCCATTTACTGATCCGATACCATAGGCGATATAGAAAGGAGGCGTGTCGTTGATGGCGGAGAATGTAGACGAATTTGATGGATCAAATCTGTCGTAGGGGCACTCTTGTTCAGAGCAAGAGGTGCTAGGTACCCAGAGATCAGAGCTAGGTGTAGCGTTGTTAGGTGCATAGACTCGAAACAGAGAAGTGTCACCGAATTACCTGCCCGTGTCTAAAGAAACCGTGAAGTTTTGGATGGGGGTGCCAATGCCAATGTTGATTAAATACTCTGCTCCCTCGTTGTTGTATAACTGCAGACTGTGTGCTGCAGATCGCTTTTGTAGCTTTACCAACTGATTTGATTTCTCTATCGGTAGGGATATAGTGCTTCCATTTGCCTGAGCAGGTGTTATTATAAAGAGATAGATGAATAGTAGTATGAGCTTTAGCATTAGATTTTCATGTACGCATTGAATCAGAAAGAGCTGCTTTCAATAGCAATGCAGTGCACTGAACACCAAAAAGAAAAGAAAAAAAAATGTCAAACCCCTCAACTAGAACTGAAATGGATAGATCCAGTTCCAAAAGCTTTGTCAAACTGAGTAAAGTGGTCAAAGCTCAATGGAGATGACTCTTTATATCCGACATTTAGCAAGTGTTCACAGTGATACTTGGAATAAGCATATGAGAGCAAGATCTGGTTAAAGATGGCATACCCTTGCTAGTAGATGCTTACTAAAATCTTGTTACAGTGCCTCTATCAAGGCATAACGAAAATGCTGACTGTGATACTTTTAAGCATATGTAAACGAAGCATGACGAACAGCTCACAGCCGAACAACCTCATGTTTGCCACGAACCTTGGCATAAAAGAACGTATCGTGATGAAACATGAGCACCTGGTCGTAAACCTTAATTTTCTGCCATAGGGCCTATTTTCCATGTATCACTTGAGCCAAGTCGGGTGAAATTTTCCTTGTTTTGCAACGTCAAAGAATATCCAGAAGGTGACATGAGGAGGTAGTCTGTTATTATAATTAAACATTGAAATCATAGGCTTGTAAAATAACCAAGTATGCTCATTTCAAAATAGATAAGGCAGCGATGAAACCGTGATGAAATCAGACACCATGATTTAATATTAAGAAGCACATGGGATAGTTTACGGGAGCAAATGCCAAGATGAATTCTCAGATTGCTAGTTCTTTGATATTAGCATTAGTTTTTATATGTTCAATTACAAAAGAAAAAGCGGTAGTATAGATATTACAAAGGAAAAAGAATATGAGGAAATGATGTAATTTATAGCTCTAGCAGCATCTCCCGACATAATACAAGCAATGTGCTTTTGTTTTTTACAAGGTAGCCATGGCAATGGCAGTGATAACGAGCGCACCTGCAGAAACAACGATGGATGATTTGATGGATTGGCCGGCAGAAGAGCTCTCTGTGTTTGCAGAATCAGAAGAAGAGTTGGCTGTCACATTGCCTACGGTAATTGCCCCTCCAATGTTCTTATTTGCAGCAAGACCAATACGATTTTGTCCCATGTCAAATACCATGTACGCAGAACGAAGTACAGAGTCACCAATCAGATACATGTTTGATCCGATTCCACCAGCACCACCTAAAGGAGCAATACCAAACATACACACCTGAGCATTCTCAGCTGTAGTCCCATCAATGGGAATCACCAATTCAGAGGCGGGCACACTCAAGGTCAAGGGATTGCTGCTGATAGAGCTTGATTGAGACATTTGCAATTGGAAGATGGCAGGGCTTTTGGCAGTAGCACAGTCCACGATAAACACACCTGATTGACGGTCAAGAGCATATTTTCTCTCACCAGCAAAGGCAGCGACAATGTCTGTGGCAACGGATGTAGGCAGATAAGTCAAGGTAGTGCCCGTGTCCAAAATGTAAGCACCAATTTCACGCAATCTCCAGCTTGGGTTGGACCCTGTGTTGGAGTTTTTGACACCTAGACCTTGGCCATAGACCATCCAGTAATAGTACCCGGCATTGCTATCAGTTGATGTGATGCCAGACGAGGATCGTGTTGTCAAACTGGCAACAGGCAAGTAGTTCAGCTCACCAACAAATTTGGACTGATCAATGCCACCAAAAATGATCTCACCAGACCAGTTGGGCTCTGAGATGCTGTTTAGAAAGATGGAAAAAATGGGCTCCTTGATGACTTTCTGAGCAGCCAGATTAAAGACAAAAGGATTGTAGGCGCCTTCGCCTTGAGTATTGGCTTGCGTCAAGGACGGATAGCCGAGACCCAGGATACCGTTGGCTTCTACATTGGTAGTTGATGTGTTGAAGGGCTCTGGCGTGTTTGAGCCAACCCCACCAGCCGAAGGATTAGGCTGCATGATGTCTTCGGTTATGGAAGCTAGACCGAACTGTTGATTTGGGATTGATGCACCGCCAACTGAGACAGTATCAGTCGCGTACGTACCATTGACGCTACCAATACCGTATTGAATACCAAAGGGCTTGCTGAGGGTCTTGAATGTGGATGAATTTGAAGCGTCGAATCTATAGAATGGACAGGAACTGGCAGGGCATTGAGTGGAAGGCACCCACAGGTCAGCGCTGCCAGTGTCCAGAGTCACAGCGAAATGCTGAGATGGAGTTCCGATGCCAACGTCGATGAGGTATTGAGAGCCTTGGTCATTGTACAGAGCAGCATTGAAAGGGTCCCGCTTGCTCAATTTTCGCTTGTTGAGGATTTGATATCGCTTTCTTGCAACTTCCAATGGATTTGACTGACGAGGATTCTTGATGATGGTGGAGCGAAGGATACCCTTCTCGCTGTCTGAAGCCAATGCTTCTTCAGCATGGATGACAGCGACCAGAGCTAGAATTGCAACAGTGATTTTCATTGAGGATAATTGTTGCAACAGAGAAACAAACAAACAAACAGATATATATCTAAAGAAGAGAAGGAATTTTATCATGTTGCTACGATTTTTAGTATACACCGATTGTAGTCCCGAGACAAGATTATCGACACTCTTCCTTTCATGGCCCTTTCAAAAAGACAAGTGATGGAAAAAACGTCATTTCAAGTCGCATACAGGTATTTTAATTTATCCACCGAAGCAGAAGGTCTAAGTGTGAAACACTTGGTTTATTGTTGCTAAATATAAATCATCACCATCATCGTGATAAGCATCATCATTCGGGTTGCAGATGACATGGTTAGTTGCTGAATTGATGACGATGCGGCACTCGCTTCTTGTTGCAATGCATCGCTGGAAGAAGAAGCAGTGGATTTGGCACTCGATACAGGTGTTGTCATGGCATCATTTGCAGTGGCAGTAGTGGCATTGGTCGAGTTACCATTGGCCAGCTTTGCGAACCCCACTCGATTCTCTTTGAGATCGTACACTGTGTAGAGTGATCGCAATGTTGACTCACCCAAAATCCATGTTTCTCCAGATGTCAAGTCCAATCCTACTGGCGATGGTGCAATGCCAAACATGCATGACTTGGAAGTGGCAGCAGTGCGGGCATCATCGAGTGGAATGACGAGGTCAGCAATGGGCACTTGAATCGAGATGGGGCTGGTGGATGCGGTTGCTGGAGAACTGGACACCAAAAAGGACACGCTGCCAGTTTGCTTGGCAGTGGAGCAGCTGACTCGATAGACGCCATTGATGGCATCTAATTGAGTGGTTTTTGCATTTTGCGTGACAGACATGACAACGGATTTAGCAACCGATGGAGGCACATAGGTCAATGTAGTGCCGGTATCCAAGATGTAACCTTGCAATGTCTTGCTATTCTGCTTGTATCCGCCGGATGTCTCAACGCCTTGACCAGGCACAGCCCAGTAAAGATGCGATTCTTGACTATTGGCCTCCCTGCTCGTCATATTAGCCCCCAAATTGGGTGATACCATGTAGGTAGAAACATCATAACTGATCACGGGGGCGTATTGCATTTGACCTGTATACTTGCTGTTGTCCATGCCACCAAGGAGCATCTCTCCAGTGCTGCCATAAGCAGATTGTGAGTTTAAAAAGATGGAAAAGATGGGTTCGCTAATGGCCTTTGCTTGATACAGGCCCATGACAAAATGGCCAGGCTTTTCACCCGTCTTCATGCTTAGATTAGGGTAGCCGAGGCCGAAGATGCCATTGGAGGGTGCGGAGTCTCCATCTTCTGCCATCGATGCCATGAGAATGTTATTGGTGTTGGACACCAACCCCACAGTAAAGTTTGACAGGGCTACACCATCCGCTGAACCCAACGTCAATGTCTCTGCGGCATAAGTGCCCTTTGCAGAGCCGACACCGTAACTGATAGCAAGTTGCTGAGAGAGTGGTTTGAATGATGTTGATTTCTGATTGTTAAATCGAGTATGAGGACACATGGAAGTAGGACATGTTTGGGCAGGTACCCAGCAATCAGCACTAGGTCATGTTTGAGTCTATAAACATCAATCAAGATTCAAGTAGCATCTATATTTTTATATACCTTCCAGTGTCTAGAGTGACATTAAAGAACTGTGGTGGTGTGCCAATGCCAATTTCAATCAGATACTCTTTGCCATTTGCATTGTAAAGCGAAACACTGTTGTTTGCTCTTTTTCTAAGTTTGCTATGGTGACGAGTGGTTGCTATAATGTTCTCTTTTCGCTTAATAGGTAGTCTCAGTAATGTTTGAGCTGAACCAGTCGCTTCTGCTGCTTGCAAGCTCAACACGAGAACGATGGCCGTGTACATGAAATAACTGGCTAGTTTCATAAGGACTGTAATGGGTTGATCAGGGTTCGAAAGGAGAGGAATGGGATAAAGAAGAAGGAAAAGGACAGCCAAGCGAAAAGAATTTACCTATTTCTATATAATTGAATATTAGAATCCAAAGAAAGTGGTAATTTAGGATGGTTTGGATCTGTGGAACGTAGCATTTAATGATGGAGATGCATATGTCCATGATATCAAGTGCAATTTTCTCGGTCTTCTCGGTCAATTATACTTCCAGCGGGTGGACAGCCACTGTACCTAAAGCATCTATTGCACAGCAATCTTGTATTGCGGCAAAAAGGGGAATCATAAAGATCTGCCTGTGTGTGTGTGTGTGTGTAACTTGTAAGTGTAAATTAGCTTTTTATTCTATAAATTAATTGGCATCTGAGCACATGGAATCAAATTAGGAGCATAATACAACATGGCTCTCTTTCTCTACTAGCCACCTTGAGATCTAATGCTTGTAATTAAGCCACACACTGACACTATCAGGTCCAACAAGATCACGGATAGTAGCAACTAGTAACTCCAATTCCACCGCCAGCTGCTCAGAGTTCATTAAATACGTGCTGAAATAGGTATATTCCCGGTCGCCCAAATGTTGATATCGAAGTGCCGGTGATTTGCGCGCCTTATTTGTCAATTCTCTTCTAGCTTTGGTGGGACGTATTACGTAGGGTGGTAACGGTGCTTTGCTTGTGAGTGCATTAGAGCCTAAATGCAGCGTTGTTAAAAAGGAAGCAATCTAAATAAACAGACACATCAGTAGGCCATTCAAGCAGATCATGCCACATGGTATATACCATTGCTTTTCTCTCTTTCCAAGTGTCCTTTACAATCATCATTCGCCATGTATAAGGAATCTTCTCAAACGCAAATTCCATCTCCAGCATCAGACTGAGAATGTTATCCAGAATCTGCAGTATATGAAGGTATTTGTTCTCTGGAAATATGCCACGCAGAGCAGGTTCAAATCGACTTTGCTCTAGTAGCACTCGCTCGCCCTTGATCTGTCTACGGATGGATCCTGCTACTGATTGAAACATCTTTTTGTTGGCTTCCACCACATTCATATCCTCCACATTGTTCTTGAGTAGCAGAGCCAAGAACGATGAATACAGTGCACCGAGCTCAGACAGTGTCGTGGAAATACGATGTCGAAGCACAACCCGACCAGTGCGAGGGAATGGAAATATACTGATAACAAGAGCGGCAAACACGCCTACCAGGACGTCTACCGTTCTCTATTATAACACATGATGAGTCTTTGCAATTACTCGGCATATAAGTAGCCAACTCACCTCCCATGTTATCACAAACACAGAGACTGGATATCCGTTAGGTTTGTAGCTATAAGTATAACCAACAACTAGCGAAAGATACACAAAATTTAGCTTAAATCAAGTTAATAACACTAAATTAAACTTACTAAGTGATATTGTGATCATGGAGAAAAGACCTGTCGCTTTCCAGAATTTGCCATGGATATAAATCATCCACCAGGGCAGATTACAAATAAATGTCAAGATGATCAAGCCAGGCACACTGCCTCTGCTGATCTCCCATATAATCATGGCTTCAATGGCGCCAATAAACGTGCCAATCGTTCGCGTCATGGTGCTGTATATGAGATTCAATGTCAATCGAATGTTTGTAGCATGTTATACAGCAAATCTTACCCAAAAAAGTTACTGCCCACAGAAGGACCCATCCAAATCAAGGCAACGACAACGGCCCATTGCCCGCGCACTTCGTTATACCACATTACCGAGTCCTCTAAAAACCCAGGCAACGATAGAAATGCTACCACGATAGCAGCTCGAAACGAGAAGGCGGCATCCGCTGTGTAGAGGTACTTGACGCAGAACATGTAGACCGAGTAAAAGAAGCGCTGTGTGGATGTGGTGGGATAGGCAACATCAGGGTCGTGGTACTCGAGTGGATCCAGCGTATTCTGACGCCAAGGATTGATGTTCTGAGAGGAGGCTCTTTTTTCTGCAGAATCGTACGGATGCCGTTCGTGATGCTCTGATGGAGAGTGTACTTGGCCGCGATGGGGAGTGTCTAGTCTGTATAACACTTTTTGTGCCTCCAAATCCACAGCAGTTGTAGGACTCGTTGCTGCTGCGGCAGCAATCATAGTAGCTCTTCTCGACATGCTCCGTTGCAGCGATGTTGGGCTGATAGTGTCTGCCATGGTATTGGGTGAGTCAAGTGCACCATCCACAGAGCGTTCTTGAAAGAACCACTTTCTGAGCGAAATATGAGGCATCCAGAATCGGCGTTTGGTTCGGGTCTGATCCAGTTCATATATGAGTGAAGTGAGGGTATATATGTGTTCTGCATACGAATGCAAATTAAACTGAAACGTCAGCAGCAGAAACAGAATGCGTCTAGGCACGCCTGATTTGGTGTACAGTCGCTCTAAGCCTACGAGTCGATGCTGGTGAAATCTTGCCATTGCTTCAAAAAGCGGCACTGAGGGATCATGCAAGCGGTTGTATTCATTCGCTAATGCTTCTTCCGCTGCTTGCTTGGAGCCTACCTTCCATTTATAATACCATTCGTAAAAGAAGGGCCTATCTTGATATCGCGGATCCAAGTTTTGCAACCGACGTAATCGTTTAACCGACTCTTGCACTGCTAATGAGCATGCATCTGTTAATTCCAGATAGGTTGGTTTTACAATGTTCAGAACATCATCGTAATCTTGTCTCCAGTAGCTCATCACTTTCATATGGTCATCCCATCGTACTTTTCTTCGGCGTGGTGATGTCGTATTGTCACTCACGAATGAGGTCGATGATGTATTGGCTGTAGAGGGCGTCTGTGAGACTGAGTAGGTCGATGCATCGTCGTCTGTGGTCACTGCTGCATCATCGTTGGAACTCCCGTCTTCTTCGTCGTCTGTGCCGCCGTAATAGCTGCGAGGCCGAGCGAAAGGCGGTGGCAAATTGGCGTTATCCTGCTGCTGTGCCTCATCGTCTGTAGCCAGAGGATCTTGTTCTTGCTCGCCGCCCTCTTGATTCCTGGAAGTATCCATCATCTCTAGTGGAACAGCTTGAAATAAACTCTTCTCTGCCTTGCGCATGTTTTCTTCCATTGCCCTGCTAAGGCCGAGACCCTGTATAGGTACTCGAAGCTTCTTGATAAGCGAAGTCATCTCACTGACATCAGTCGGCGCAATAGCATTGAATGAGGGCTCTCTCCTCACCATGCGCTTTTTCTGAATAAGGTTTGTAATCAAAGCATCCACGGTCTGATGGATTGTTGCTAGTGATTCGGTCTGATCCAACGACATACTAGGTCTAGGATTGACTCGAATAAACGCATTGACTTGGCGCTGCAGAATACCGTCAAATGACTCGAACACTTTGATGAGATCTTGCACAAACACTCGTGTGCTGTTTTCAGGAAATATTACGAGAAATATAGTGAAGATGAGCATGAATCCGACAAGGGTAGGCACCAGCACTTGAAGCTATCGAGTTGTATGAATTTCATGATCTCCCCTTAAATTATGCTATATACGGGGTTAAACTTACCGTTGTCGTAGCTGTGAATTCTCTATGTGTTACAGCCGAAGTGAGACTAATCACCATGATGGAAGCCGACAGCATGCCACCCACATTGGCTTGCTCCACTTTGACTCGAAACATGCTGAGGAAGAAGCATCCCACTACCAAAAAGCAGGACAAGATAGCACACACCTCAGGCTGAGCCATGGTGGGATCATTAGGATCTCTGACAAGCGATGCCAGATAAGTACCTAATATAGCCCACGATCCAGACATACAGCACATGGCAGTGCCTAGCAGAATGTCTTCAGCTAGAAACCCATACGATTTCGCAGGATGCACAAATTCTACAGCGACAGAAGCCAAGATGCCACCAGTCGATGACACATTTCTGATAGGATCGATCAATAAAAGTGCAAGCGCAATGGTTACTGCAATATTAGCTTTCAAAATCTTGACGCAAATCGGCCATGTCAACGACTGCCATATGCCTTTGATTCGCTGTCGAATGGTTTGTAGTGGAATGAGGTGGCCTGAGGTTGCTGACAGTCGAAATTTCTGGCCCTTTTCCTTTTTCTTGTTGAGCCTCTTGCTTTTCCTGGGCTTCTTCATGGCTGCTGGTGTGGTTGCCGAGAGGCTGTGTGTTTTGAAGGAGAGAGAAGAGAAGGAAAATAATATTCCCTGTTTTGAGAAAAAGTTTCAGTTTCACAATTATCATTGGCATCATCAAACTCTATATCGGGATAGCCGGACATGTCCTTTTTCATTTCATGAAAATATCTCTACCCTTTTACGTCATGTAGGTTGCTAGGGGAGAGCTACTTTCCTTGACACTTGCTGATCCATTGGACAACGCAAGACCATCGTCCTCATCTAGGCCTTTCATGAGGATGTCTACAAGCATGTTGACTTGGTTCATTGTGAGCCTTTAGAGTGGCTGAATGTTTGAACCACGGAGCTGAACAAGGGATATTTCAGATGTGCACATTTAGCGCAATGTAGATCGTAACTATATATACTGTAAAACATTCAAAAAAGTAGGCAAACTAAAGAGTTGAGCACCGTACAAGATGAAGAGACCACCAGTGAAGCCGGCATTGGGGAGAGGGTTTGGAGGAGGTGCTAAGCCCATCCACCAAGAGCATAACGCATCTAATCTAACGTTTGGTAACATTGACCTATAAGAGGGTTTTACTATAGCGAAGCGAAGGTGCAAAACCATAATACGCAAGCAGCAAATGCGGGTTTTCATTCCATTGTTAATAAGATTACCAGCAACATAGCGCATCAAATTTTGCATGAATCAGCTTCACCAAAATCAATATGCCTCCTTTTCGAATTAGAAGTTGCACAGGCTGCAGAGCTGCCCTTCCAGAAGACTTTAGCTACTAAAGATGTGATTTATGCAGTGTAAATAAAAGCCATAAAGCAAAACATAACCAAATTGGATAGTTTTCAAGCCTTCATATCTTTACATGCAGGCCTTTATGAGTCACCAGAATAACGCCAAACAATTGTACTTGAATAGTAGTAATTTCCTGACACCTTTGCTCAACTTTTTGGGACCAAAAAAAAACATGGTCAAAAATCGACCAAAAACCATGAGGTACCCCTCATTCTTTTCATCGAAAATCAAACGATCGCGTTTTTGACTCCAAAAATGAAGACTTTTACTATGGTATGTATTGGATCAAAATGTTTCTCTCGACCCAAAGCAATCTCTGAAACCACTTTTGTAAGGCTTTTATATGCAACATATGGTTATTCTCGCTGAAAACCTCATTTCATATTTTATTGAATTGCTCGATAATTTAAGTCAAAACACTTATTGCAGTTAGCGCCATTAGAAGCGCCTTGGAAAGTACTTCAAGAATGTATTAGGAAGCGTAGGGTGATCATCACAGTTTATATAGTCGGATATCGCAAAATACATTTTTTTTTTTTTTTTAAATTGTGTTTATTGATTGAGCCGCGTACACTAAGAGTAATAGGTCAGAGTGAAGAGGCGGGTGCAATTGAGAAATGAAAAAAATATAAATATAAATGGAAACTAAACTAAACTAACAAAAGGAACTATCTAACTATCTAAATTACAAGAGGGAATGGATTTGATCTTCATCCACTGTCTGTCGGACAGTGGAGTGGATATGTACCAGAATCGCCTCAGGGACAAAGATAGTGCCGTCAAAAACAAAGCGCATATGGGCTAGCCATATTTGAGACAGGGTGATGAGTAGGATTCTGTATGGATGGATGCCTTTGACTTGGGAGTACCAGATATCTGAAAAGTCCAGGGACAGAAGAGCCTCTTTGATGTCAGTGATGGACGTGGTGGGCCATAGGAACTCAAAAATGACGCCTTGCCATACCTTTTCTTTGGATGGACAGTCAAAGAGCAGGTGGCTGGCAGTTTCATTGGGAGACAAGCAGACAGGACAATTGTGGGACTCGAAAAATGCAGGCATCATGTAGTGTAATCTGCTTCTAGAAGGGATACAGCCTGCGATGAATCGGTATATCACATTACGTTGAATGTAGGTAAGAGACAGGGACCAAAAGAATTTCCAATTAGCAGCAGAGACATTTTGCAAGACCAAGGGCTGTTCCACCGACGACAGTACAGACAGACGAAATGTTTTGGCGGAAGCCTGAGCGTTTCTAAGAGATTGGCCATCGTGCAGACAAAATTGATCCACCAGCGGCGCAAAAGAGACTCCAGGATCTACTACAGGGGCTGGATTACACACTGGGAGGAAGTAGGGCTGGAATTTAAGAGTGCCAGATGCGAGGCCTCTGAACACTGTTGAAGGAGCTCTCTTCCACCTGAGGAGGGAAGGGTCACGAGTGTCTCTCCAATGTACAAAGTTAAGCCGGGCATCGTACTGAAATACATCAGAAACCATCATCTCTTTGACTTTAAGAGGAACAACCAGTGAGGAGGATGGAGGAACATAGAAAGCCGCCTGTAATGGAAGAGCCATGGCAGTTGCAGAATTGATCGGTGCCGCATCAAACAACTTAGGAAGATAGTCAACTGTACGATATAACATATCGACAGTTCCCGTGAGCAAAATACATTAAAGAAGTCGAAAAAAGGCAAGATCTGTCCAATCTTGAACAAAAAAAAAAAAAAAAAATGCTGCGTTTGAATCGAATTTGGCGGCGGCGGCATTGTTGCTAGCTGACCTAAATGCCTTTCTGTTGATGACAATGATGATTGCGATGCTGATTAAATGGGGATCATGGAATTAAAAGGATAATTGAATAGCCTGAATAACTCCTCTGGGGCGCTTTGCCTCATAAAGATGTCTTTTTGCAATGACAATATCTCTAAAAGTCGCTGTATATTTTACACAAGTCCTGTATTTACGCATGGCCAGCTCTGTGTCGTCATCTTATCAAGAGCATCAACAGCAGCGAATGATATGACAATTCTATTATCAGAAAATGATGATTGTAATCTATAAATGCTGCGTAAAACCTGAATTTTCTTTCGCATTGTCCCAATAATAGGCTTTGTTTGATATCAGTGTAAGCAAAAAAAAAAAAATGCTGAGGGAGATACCTACTCTCCTCCTCCTCCTGGCTTTGATATAACCTTTCTTTTACTAACTATTAATTGGTTGTGTAAAATCTACTTGATATAGCAAAATTTTATTACATCTGATTTAAAATGTTTTTGGCGAGAGCCCACAGGGCGACGTCGACATCGAGCGTAGTGAGATAGATCGGCTAGTCTCATTATATACGATATATGTATTCATAAACACGTGTCTATCAAAGATCACCTCCACAAAAGATCATTTGCAAAACAATTTATAAAATCAAGGCTCTATTAAAAAAATATAGACTACCTAAAAAGCGTATTTCTGTCAGTCCACATGGATAAACCATGATTAGCAGGACTAACCAACGAGCAGATCGAAATACATTTGACCCCAAACCCCAGACTCCAACCCTCTGAATCTCCAACTAATCCAACTTGATGACTTGATCCCTAGATCTCCACTTATACCAACCAATACATACACAAGCTTCGTTCAAGGGGACTTACGAGTTACATTGGTGATGCTCATGGACTTGGAAACTTATCAGCGAACCGAAACTCCCAACACTCCATACCTGCTTCTTGGGATAGCAGTGACGCAGTTCTAAGAGACCATGCCTTGGCCGTGGCAGAGTGTACACTCAGCTTCCAGTTCTTTGTACAATGTAGCACTAACCTGGTTGATTACCTGAGGTGTTCATCTTGTACTATATTGTTTGGTATGCAATGAGGGATAGTTCTTTCTAGCTGGGTAAAAAAAAAACGACCTCAGACCCAGTAAAAGAAGGATTGTCAAATCCTAATTCTTCTTCTGGTGGAGCTATGGTTATAGACATCTACCTCAAAGATGAGGTATTGAAGTGCAATGGTGTGCCAAAACGTATGATGCAGGAATAGGAGAAAGACGCTAAAAAGTGGATCATATCAATATCTTACCAAGGTAACCTCTACGATAAAGAAGAGTGAGCTAATCTCAGAGAAAAATCCCAAGAATTAACCCGTAAGTTAATCAGGCAGACAAGGCGTGGCCAAAAGAGACCAAACAACCCAGGTAAAGTTGACGGGGAGCTCAACTTGTTCAGGTTAAGAAAATGCTTATCTGGCAACACCACCAAAAGGCATTGTGGAATTTCGACTCGATTTGGCAAATCCCTCGTCTATTTTGCCAGATTTAACAATGTACTACATATCAATTGTATCCTACTGTTCTAAACTTTCCGATTCTGTTTTCCAAGACAAATCTAACCATGCTACTTTGACCAACATTTCTATTGAATTTGGTGTACAATCTTGAAAAAACCAAAATACGGTTCAAGGCCAGAAAGTCCACCTTTTACATAACAAAGTCTCTCAAAACTAGTTTAGGCTGGTGCAGGAAACTTTTTTCGTCATTTTGGTATTATAAACATTATAAAAGAAAATGCTGTTTTTGAGGGCAAAAACACCATTGATTGACTTTTCAGGATTTGGCCTTACTATCCCTCGTCCAAAATCGATGGATTTCATCAATTTTTCACAGCCCTAAAAAAATTGAGATAGAGTGTTAAACTGTGAATATTCGTCGAAAGAAATGCTTTGGTGCATCGCTGACGGTCTTTAACGGCCTGCAACTCAAGAAATCAGTGACTTATAATAGCTAAATTTTGCTGTATTTTGCCTCTTTTAATACTACGGAATGCGATGAGAAGCTTACTTGAGTATGCCAATAATGTGCTCTTGTTTATTAATGCAATCTCTTGCTATCTAAATCAATGATTTATTGATTCGACTGTGTGGTACCTGAATTACGGATATATTCCACAGTGATCTGCATTAGTACCTTGAAACTGTCATCAACTGTTGGTTGCCTGAATTAAGTGCTGGTGAATACGTCCTCTCTACATCAAGAGCTTTCCGAGAAGAATCAGCAGGCTCTAAGTTGTGGGGACTGATGATGTATAGTGCCGTTCTGTTGCATTATTTTGGGTTAGATGAAACCTCACAGCTATACATCAGGCACAGTGGATCTATTAGCAACAAGACAGCTACCTATGATGGGAGATTACGCACAGCCGATTTTCGCAGGAGCTACATCATCGTCAAGCAGTTCAATAAGCTTATCCATTGTTATGCATTCTTCGAGATTGACTTGGATTGACCAAAATCATCTACAGTTCGACCCTCGCTGAAAGCATTGCCAATAATGAAACTTCACAGCCTTTACAGTTACCTCATGCTAGACATCAGTTAGCACAATCAAGCTCCACACAACCGCAGCTTGATGCCGTGTATATTTGTACCATGTAGCACAAAGTATTTGATCCTGAAAATCCTTGACACTAAAACTATTTATTAGGGAAAAATGCTTTAAAAAATTCTATTTGATATGAGAGAGGTAAAGAAAAGAGCGCAAGAAGAGGATTATAATAGTTGTTTGCGTGTTGTGTTGTGTTGTGTTGTGATGGCGTGTATTTGTTGTGTGTGTGTGTGTGTGTGTGTGTGTGTGGTTGATTGTGAAATATATGTATATTGTATATAATGTTTTATGGTTTTCCATGATCCTTCACCGCATCAGCATTGCTTTGACTCGAAGAAGACATGGGAATGATATCTTTGTTGTTGTTGCTTGTGGCTTTGTTGGCTAATGTCTTTGCGACTGAATACACTAGACCAGCAATAAAGCCAACAATGATGGCTGTAACATTTCCAAATGTAGCTGGATCGCCAAAGAACATGATGCCTGATGCAGCAATGGGTAATTTGTTTAATGCGCCTACCATAGAATAAGTTGTCGATGAGGTTGTACGAACACACCAAGCAGAAGCATAAGACATGGCAAAAGCAGATGCGCCTGAAAAGACCATGGCAACCAGCATAGCTTGACGCACATCAGCAGGGCTAAACCGTCTATTAGTACTCACTCTCTTTGCTTCAAAACCAATCGCCATCTTCATCAGATACTTACAAATTCTTTGCTAGACTTTCGGCACTCCAATCTTCAAAGATGAAGCTAGGGATAATCAAGAGAGGAATGGAGAGGAGATTGTTGTAGTAAACGGTGTCGAAATCCTTGAAATTGGTGAGCTTGATTCTCTTGCGCATGTAGAGCACAAAAGCAGCAGAGGCAAGACAGTTGGTAGCCATCCAAAAGTAACCAGCCAAGGTTGTGTCGAGTTCAGCGATTTGGGACAAAGTATCACTGATATCTGCCCAACCAGCAATGACAGAGGAGAGGACCTAAATATACACATTGAGTGTAAATACGCTTAGACACAAATACACACACACACACACACACACACACACACACACATAGGCAACCCACACGCACACGCGCACACAACAACTTACCATCAAACCAAATGAAACCAACATCAAATGAGTAACACTGCCACCAAACCAAAGTACTTCACCATAGGCGATAAGGATGATGGTCAAGTTTTTGAAGATAGTATAAATGGGAATACGAAGAAATTGGAGTGCTTTTGAGCCTGTATAGATCATAGCGACGAGTGAAGCAGCAATGGGCATCCATTTGCGAGCCTCATCTTTATCAAAATCACGGAACTTGATAAGATTGAGAAACTTGAATGATTGCAACAGCAGAACAGTGACCAAATTCTAACCATGAAACATAAGATACACTGGATGTAGCTGAATGGGATGTTCCAACTTACTTGGATGGTCAAGAGCAAAAAGTTCATGTTAAAGTCATATCCACTGAGGACGTATTTGTTGGTTACAGTCATGAGAATAGAGGCGAAACAATAACTAGCGATAGGAAGCACAGCTCTCATTCCAGGAGATAACTTGAAGCCAGAGGGGGCAACCACTGTATTCTGTTGGCTCTGATTATTCTCAGGTTCCTGGTCAATAACCACCGTATAATCTGGCTTGCTTTCTCCCATGGTTGATTTTGGATAATGTGATAAGAAGACAAAAGAAAGAGAAAAAGATGGGAGAGAGGGTCAAGTTAACCCAAAAAATATTTTTTCCAAGCGGAGTCGCTTCCAATGTGTGTAATGAACAAAAACCAAGGTGTCTCCAAACCAAACTGCAATAGCGTATATAGCAGTGAATGGATGATGATCATCCATCTCTGCCTCCCCTTTAAACTCCCCGCCTTTTTCTTTTTAATAATTCTCCTTTTTTTTTTCCATCTGTTGAGCTCAACAAGAAAACGACCATTTTTTACCATCAGATCAACCAGTTGGAAATCTACAATGACACAAAGAAGACGATCTTCTTTTACCCAATTTGATTGTACCACCTTCAATTAAATTTAATGGGATAAACATCACTTGGCAAATCAATCAGCGAATATCCCATCCGAGAGTCAATTGACAACCAATATTTTATCATGCAGTTGTCATGTACGCACATTATACAAATAGGCATGCAAGTTACTGAATTTCATGTGCTCACCAAAATGTTTCTCAACAATTTACTATATTTTTGGTTACCAGCGTTTTAAAAAGCTATAATTATACCATTCGAGAGGTTTCATTTTATTCAATAATGATGATGAATTGCCAAGAAGATCGCTCAGTTTGCTGCCCCAATCAAGAATCGCTATTGTACCAGGTACTTGCTTGTGTAATTTCATCTGCATGTATGGCTTCATTTTTCATTGAGATGTGGTTTCGAGCGTCTTCAGATGGCAGCCAACAAAAGCCACCATCTGTAAGGTGAATTTTTGATGGGCTGCTTGCGTATCAATAGAATAATAGAATCAGTACTATGAGCTGGTGTATAGAACTACCTAGTAGGCTTGACGATTGAGATATCATTTTCGCTGCAAGAGTATACATTGCAATGAATATTTTGTGAAAATTAAGCCTACCAGACGCAAATTTACCCAAATTCTTAACAAAAGTAGCGAGATTAAGCCATACTCCTTCGCAGCTCACTATTTCCTTCTTATTGCATCGGTTGTCTCGTCAGAAAGGCATTTGGGCAGCCAAACTTGGTTCAATCTCCGACGTTTTTTTTTTTTTTTTTTTTTTTTTGGAAACCCAAGATTGGCCAAATTCTGATTGATCTCGACTTGATCGAACTATTTTGATAGATTCGACTATAAAAAAGGAATAATCATTCCTTACTCCTTTAAGCTCTCTAGAAGTACTTTTCAAGACACATCTAATGGTGCTATTTGCAAGAAGTGTTTTGAACAAATATAATGAGAAAGGCCAGAAAATATGAAATCCAATTTCTGGCCAAATTGTCGAGGTTTTGCATACCAAAGTTGCACAAACAAAGTTTTACGGGTTGCTTTGGGTTGAGATAATCATTTTGATCTAATATATGTCATAGTAGAAGTGTTTGTTTTCGAGGTCAAAAACGCGATCGTTTGATTTTTGATGTTTTTGATGAGGTATCCCTCATGGATTTTGATGAAATTTTGGCGATCCTAAAAAAGTTGAGCAAAGGCGTCAAAAAGTTAGTGCCAGATCAGAGCAACTGTTTGATGTTATCCTGGTGGCCTAAAATGGCTTCTAGCACTAGAAATCACGCCTCAAGTGCATCCAAATTTCGCTGTGATTTGCATACTGTTGAGTATTAAGAGGTATTACTACTACGCATCGTGCCTGTTTGAATATTGTTTTCGTCAGTCCAGATATGGGACATCGAAAAAAATTCAAATCCATGGTTACAGTTTGCTTATGGAGGGTTTTCACATGATGACAACAGATTGAAATGTGTGCTGGTTCACATTTTTGCGGTATCAACTGCGCAAGACTGCTCTCAGAGGACTGCAGTTCCCTATGACAGACACTAGCACTCATGGTACGGTAAAGCTATTCTTCCTTATTTCATTAATCATTTCTTTGAGTCATGGAAGCACATTCAAATCCTGTTGAGTCGGAAGGCTCTCCAGATTTTTTGGATTATGCGGATTCTGACAATTCTGATTTCCAAGTGCCTCTGTCCATACCAGACGACAATAGCAGCAAACGCAGGACGGAAGAGTCAGACAGCCAAGAGGATGAAGAGGACAGCAATGTATGTGGCATTTGCCAAAAGGAATGGGCCAACAATGGATTTCACAGCATTGCTCAGATGAAGTGTGGCCATTGTTTTGGAAGATCGTATGTTGGATGACAGTGAAATGTATCCGATGATATAAATATTGACCACCTTGTTGTACGTTAGTTGTATCAACCAATATAAACGGGATAAATTTAAAAACAGTGCATTCAATTGTCCTCTCTGCGGGTAAGAGCAAAGAGATCCAACACCTCAGTGCTCGTATTGATATACAATTTTCTCAATAGCCAGCTGTCAAAGAGACGAGAAATACGAAAGATTTGGCCATCCAAGCTTATTCCCGAGGATCAATCGTATATTGATAAATTAACCTCTGAGCTGAAAGAGTTGGATCAACGATTGGCACAGTTGGCTACACAAAATGCAGACATACAGAAGAAGATGGTCGAAAAGAAGGCTGTGCTGGACAGTTTCGATTCTCTGCTGCCGGTCGTACCTAGTCAAGCGACAACCCAGGAGATTGTGGAGAGTCAAACAGAGCAGGGATTTGCTTTAAAAAGCAGGGTTTCAATGAGAGGAGAGGTAAACATCTATCTTGTGCGATTGCTGGGCGATTGGATGATTGACAGGCTGGATGTTGTGTTTAGGTGTACCATGCCGTGAATTTGAATCCTTTGGAAGACATGGCAGTGGTGTCTACCTTTCAACAAGCAAGAAGACGATATGGATTCCGAAAAATCAACATGTACGACACATCCGTTACCGAGTTTATACCCACAAATCATCAAAATATAATCAGAGACATCAAACACTCACCCAACGGCATGTTGCTCAGCACAGGCGACGATAGAACGCTAAAACTGACATCGGTCACCAAGAGCCTTGTGGTTCAATCGTAAGTAAAGCATGGAATGGGTGGAGATACAAGGTGCTGACAAGGTTTGCAATGGATCAGGTACACACTGGAGGCTCCCTCAAGAGCATGTGCTTTCGATGATAAAAACCTCAACCTATTGTATTGTGGACTGGCAACAGGCGCATTAATGGTCTATGATGTGAGGAATACGAGAGGCTATTTGTCCAAGCTGGTAGATCCAGAGAGAAACAACCCCCTTTTATCTGTCATACCAAAAGGGAACTCCATTCTATGTACAGATCAATACGCTTCTTACACTTGGGATCTTGGTGAATCACAACAGTATACTGCTCAGTCATTGTATCTGCAGCATCAAGTGCAGAACAAAGGCGCTCAAGACACCATCTACTCTGTCAGCATGAGCGAAGATACATTTGTCACATCCAGGAGAAATGGCGGCAGGATGGAGCACCATATCAATAAAATAACTAATGAAAATGGACAAAGAATCTTTGATGAAGCATGGTCTTGCGCTGTACTTCAGGATGAGCCCTCCTTTTGCAGAAACACACACTTTAGTAGAGACGACGAGGTGTTTCTTTGTTATGCTGAAAAAGACAAGGTACAGCTGTGTATGCATTCATCGTGTCTATGTAGCTTGAAGCTAACTCTACCCTAAATGCAGGTGACAATACGAACCAAGGATAGCCAAACACAGGCTTTTGCTACTGACGGCCCCGTGTTTGATATCCAGCATACGACTAATGGCGTGAACGAGTTTCTTGCAGCCCTATCCAACGATACACTGTACATATATACATACGATGTTTAAAATACCCAATAAAGTGGCCTGAAAGCCTGAATACTTTTCTCCATGCCAAATCAGGCAACAATGAATCCACTCATTGTCTTAACATCCTTGAATACGAGCGTATGAGTCATTGCATCTCTTTCTCTGATTCCTAACATCATGTTGAATTATCCTTATCTATTAGAGAAGTACAAGAAAATAGAAGCACCAGGTCCATTTATTCCAATCGCAGGCGCTGTGCTCGCTATTGCGGCAGCCATGTACGGCATCAAAACAGTGCTCAGGAACGGATGGAGTGGAACACACAATGTCAAAAAATACAGAGTGATTCCAACGCCCCCAGGCTCTGTGCTTTTCTTTGGTGAGTAGTAATATACTACTTGGTTTATATGGCAAACACTGACCTACTGCTTGTTAGGTCATAAACTGTTGCTGGGCGACATACCAGCACACAAGATTGCTGAATGGCACAAGGAATTGGGGCCTATTTTGAAAGTTAAGATGGGCAATGAAGACTGGATATACGTCGCTGATGCTGGCATGGCGTATGAACTATTTACCCTGGAAGACAGCTTGACATCCAACAGTCTTCATTTCATGTGTGGGGATGCTATTTATGGCGGAGAGGAAGGGTAAGTCTGCTACGATTGCTTGTTTAAGAGTTTATTAACCTAGATTCTTATAACAAAGACGCACTGCATTTGGTCATGATGATGCTAAATGGAAAGACATTCGGTCTGTTATGCTGCAATTTCTATCGCCTAGCTCATTCAGAAGATCTTATGCCACTTTGCAAGAAGAGGCACAAAAGACGGTGGATTTGCTCATCAAAAAGACTCGACAGCATGGAAGCGTAGATCCTCTTTCTTTCATTCGATTTAATTCCATCAACATTATCTTGAAAACGTCATTGGGACAGCAAGGCGCAAAGTCATTGCACGATCCTTTATATAGGTGCCTGATGAATAGAGATGGCGTCTATTTGCAGTATACCACCATCAGAAAACCTTGGTCTTGGATGTCCCATTTGCATCGTTTGTTTAGCAGAGAAACTAGTCCAATGAACGCCTTGTATGCGCCATTACAGAGAGTGATTCAAAGGGCTCGCAAGAGTGATACGGATAACGTGGTGAAAAGACTCGATCTGTTGAAGGAAGAGTATGTTATCGACGAGCACAATATTGCTGCAATTACGGGTAAGCTGCGTTATATCTTATGTACAGTGAGGTTATTGACACAATGTATGTAGGTGAACTGCTTGTCGCTGGTATGGATGCTCTGTCTAGTGCCACTGCTTGGACATTGGCTATCCTATGTCATCACCCTGATGTACAACAAAACCTCGCTCGAGAAATTGACAGTTTCATCATAAAGCATTACCGCTTCCCTACATTTGATGATCTCCCTGAACTACCATACTACAATACTTTGCTAAAAGAGTGTCTTCGTTTCCGTCCGCCTGTTTACTTTGGTATTCCCCGCAAAGCGAGTAAAGATGGTAAGCCAACTCTAGAATGTAGCTATATGGAATACATCTAATGGCATTGCGCTTGCTAGTTGTATGCAGGAACTATCTGATTCCCAAAGGAAGCACGATTGTAGGCAATATCCATGCAATCAGCCACGACAACTATGTGGTTCAAGATCCTGAAAAGTTTCTCCCAGAGCGATTTCAATATGATTCACGTACATTGCACGCTGGAGCCTATGAGGGATCTGAAGCACACTATGCATTTGGGTGGAAAAAACGCATCTGTCCTGGCATTTCCTTGGTAAGTGCTGCTTGCGTGCGAAGCTAGTAACTGACACGCTGACCATATCTTATAGGCAGAAGCCCAAATCTTCAATATTGTAACAAAAGTCATGTCCAGATGTACTATTGAGCCTGCTATCGCGTCGAATGGTCAAGACGAGTATCCAAATTTAGATGATGGAAGAAGTGTAGGTGCAACTGTGGTGCCAGGCCCGTTCAAGCTTCGATTCGTTGAACGCAGTGATAGGACGATTGTATGATTGCTGTTATTGTGTCAATAAATAAACGGCATAACGGATAATAACAAATCGAAAATTTACTCATTGCCGAGGAGCAAATTCAATGTAACAAATACTCTCCATTGGTCATGCCTGTCCTCTTATAACATTGAGCATTGGCAAAAGAAGTTACACGAAACTAGTTCTTAGCAACTATGGATGACTAATCCTAACCGGAAAATGATAGTAATTAATGCCGAATTATAGTGGTCAGTCTGTTCAATGAATACTAACAGTAGAATGATGGCCGCAAATTAAAAGTTTGCTTTGCTCACAGGATGGCATCGATTCAATTGAAATCTGTCGTCCAATTAAGATGTGCTTACTCATTGTTTTGCTATAGTAATGCATGAGGTGAGAGTGGTACAACATAAGCATGAATCTGGGTTCACTGTCCAGCCAATGGATCTCTCCACAACTAAAGTTTATGACGCTACCCTGAAATCCAGATGATGGCATAATTCTAGAAATTAGTATAAAAAGCAGGCAGGCAATTATGCAGCACTTTTTTTTTCTTCTCTCCATCAACCTCTTACAATGACTTCCTTCAAGCCAAACACCCCTAACAAGCCTGAGACCTACTCCATTATTGTACCAGGCATTACTCCTGACGCGGCCCTGTTATCTGAACAATTGCTACAAAAGAACAATAGGGAGTTCCACATCTTTTTCAACGAGAAAAAGTTTCACAAGTAAGTTTGATAAACTGGCAATGCTATCAGTTGTAGATATGACACTGATGGATGAAGTATAGCCATTTGATTCATCATCTGCTGGCTGCTTATTCCTTGGGCGCAAGCAAGCAGAAGCTCCAAGAGATCTTTGATGATCATGCCAAAGATCAGCGTCCATTGCCTCCTTCTGTGGGCACCATTACTCGCGAGAATTACACCAAATACCTCGGCCAAGCTGACGCCTACGCCAGTTTCCTCACTTTTTTCCAGTATGAAGTGGAAAAAAACGGCTCCATTGATACTGTGCGTCGTTGGGTCTGGAGTGGCGATATGCTGGCTCGCACTGTAGGTGGCGCTTACCACCCTTTGATTCACATTGGTTATGGTCTTGAGTTTGGCATTCCAGGCATTGTAGCTGAAGGCTTGGCCATGGCAAGCTGTACTGAACCCCACTTTGTCAAGATTGTACCCGATCAGCCTCCGTTGAACACATCTTCGATGGTACCAGCACAGGCGCAATCCTACGCTGAAAATGCAACATCTGCCGCTCGAGGCTATGTCAACACATTTGTCGATCAACTCACTAATCAAATCTCTACGCGTTTTGGTATATCTGATGAAACAACCTCCTCAGCGCAGGCGAATCGTGATGTCAATGCAAACAAGAGCAGTGATGATGATGATATCCCGGTTTTCTTGAAAGAGAATTCCTTGTTCCATATCTTGAACAAAATCAGAAAGGATCCCGTGTTTGACAATGTCGTTGATTTCAAAGACCAGAACAAGATGCAGACCTTGCTCAAAAACAAGGAGGCTTTGGACAGAATCAACCATTACGTAAATCAATGGACCGTCAACGACAATTCAAAGGATATTCAGGTTAAATTCAAGGAGCTCTACACATGCATCTCATTGGCTGTGGGTTCTACTGGCCTGCGTGATGATCATCCTGGCGTATTAAAGTTGGATTTCTTCTTGATGCATGCTCTCACCTCGTCCGAGTTCTTGCATCAGTACATTTCAAGAATCACGCCGTCCGAATCTGTCAGCTTATTGCACGCTCATCTCGCCATCACCATCTTTTATTACATCACAAGAGGCAGACCCAACTTCAATGTCGAGGCTTTGTTGGCGTACAAGTCGCCCAGCAATGTAGCATCCAGCAACAACAACTGGCTCAATGTGTTTGACAAGGCTCTTCATTGTCAAGAGCCTCATGTCATCAAGACAGTCCGATCCTGCGCCGTTGCTCAAGTCATGTATGGACCTCATGAGGACAGTCGTCTGAACGCAGTCTGGCTTCAAGTAGCTCAAATGGCAGTCGACAGGGATGGCCATTGGGATTTCTCGGGACTTGGCTTTGATCAAAACTGGGAATCATCTGAAAAGCACTAATATCAGCATCGTTTGCGTGACGTAAAATGTAATCATTTTATTGCAATATAGTCTATGTACAATTTGCTCCAATAAATAAAAAAATATACACATTTCAAGATTGAATCATATGGCTCTCACTCCATCCATTTCCACTGAAAGATTCCGTTGTCAAGGTAGTATCGAGCAATTGCTGTTCGGGGGAGAGTAATCGCAGTGTTGCTGAGGGCGGTGCATTAGGGTAAGACTGCAGACGAAGTTCATCCTTCTTCTTGCTGCTCTTGGGCGTCTTTTTCTTCTTGTGTGTCGCGCCTGTTACAGTGGATCCTGATTTAACAGTGCTGTGGAAGACAGGATGGGCTTGTCTCTCAATACCCAAATTCTCTGTATTGGTGCCTAGTCGTGGTATACGGACATAGGCATCTGTACCAAACCCATCCATCGTAATCACTTGCAGCTCCCCACCCCAATACTCTGCATAGATCCTGCTCATCGTCAACCCAATGCCCAAGTGGCGGTGTCCCATTTCGGATGCCTGATTTGCTCGTCCATCAATGGTAGCTGGTATCTTTTGTATCTGCTTGAAATCGTTGAAATCGCCCGTCTGTGCTCGCGATTGGTAAGACCACAGGCGGTCATATCTATCCTTGGTCATGCCCCCACCTTGATCAGACACTCTGAAATACACATCCGAATCGTTTGCACTGACTGTCACTTGAATAGGTGGATAGTCGCCAGCTGGATGGTTGCGCATTGTAAATCGCACAGCATTGTCTAGTAATTCGTATAAAATGTGTTCCAGTTGCTCGGGTACCTATGTCCATGATCGTATCAACACTGGCTGCTCGATTCCCTCCCCTTTACTTACATAGGCAAATAATATCTCGTTCTTCCTATTGCTCGATGTGAATCCATTGTGCTGAATCTTGACACTGATGTGAGGCACAGGTAGCTCTTGATTCTCTTTCTGCACGTTGGAATGATATCGATGCACATGCTGGAAAACTAGCTGTTTTGATCGCTCCAGAATTTCGCTGGCAGAGCAATGCACAAATATGATTCCCACATAGCCATCACCAAATCCTGTGTGTTGATCCCATTGATGTTCACATGCTTCGGTCAAGGCCAGATGCTGCTCAGCCAACACACGTCTCGATATCCGTGATCTAAGCATACGATTCAAGAACAAATCCAAATCCTTTTGCTCGGGCGGGTAGTAAGCTGCACTTTCGCTGAGTCCTTGAGCCAGTCGAGGCAAAACCAGCAATCCATCCTCCAGTAGTGTTTGTAGTAATTCGCAGAAATGGGTATTGTCTTGGTGCTTTTCGATGGGAGGACAAGCACGTATCGATTCAAATGCGCCCCAATACAGCTTGTAGACATATTCAATGTGAGGGTTTGTGCCGACAAAGAAGGGCAGCTGCTGAAAATCACGGATACGATGAGCCAAGCGCACTAGTAGTTCATTGCGAACCCAGTTTGCAGATTTGAGCAAACGATCCGTGTTCATTTGCCTACCGAAAAAGATGAATTGACGTAATGTGCTGGCATTTACAGGTTGCACAGTGTATTCCTCTAGCACTTTGTTTTGGTAGAAATGAGATGCTGAATTGGTAGACTGCATGGCGTCTAATCTGGCTGCTCGAGGAACCTCTATTTTGGGTGATGCGGTAGTTGAGATAGGGGATTTATTCATAATCTGTCTCGGTAGACTGCAGCTAAAAGAACGTTTGCCATGTAGATGGATCTGATGAGAAAATAGTCTTTTCAGTGCCATCATCAAAAGTGTGTGTGTGAGAGAGAGAGAGTGAGAGAGTGTGAGAGAGTGTGTGGTATGGAAGTAGTGATGAAAGAAAGCGAAAAGAAAGAGAGGGAAAGATGAAAATGAGCTGTTAAAGATTTTTATTATATTTTCACCGATTGCTTTAGGCAGTTTTGAGTCATCGCTAGATCGACGTTTTTCATTTGAAATTGGCATAAATATCATGTGCTTGTGTTTATCTCATTTGCTGCCCTTTGGGTTGTTGGTGAGACTATCTCTTAGTTCAGATAGCTTGTTTTGGGTGTCTTGCAGCGTCTTTTGCTGCTCCATCAATCGGTCGTGAAGCTTTTCCAGTTCCTGTTCGTTCTTGTGCACGTAATATTAGTCATTCAGTCTTACCAACATGGGAAATACCTCACCATTTGACGCGCCCATACACCTTCGGCAGCCCTTTCGCGGTTATTGAATACCTTTCCACCTTCATTGGATTTAGGCAAGTTTGTGTACAATTGACGCACCTTGCTTGATTGGTAAACAAAGTTTCTGGAGACGATGTTCTTGAGCATGTTGTGTTCTTAAGAAAAAAAAAAAAAACAAGACCAGGCTATCTGCCCCTTTATAACGAAAACTTTTGGTTTCAGTTTGACTCGAAAAAAAAAAACGCAACATTTGACTCATAGCAAAAAGAAGCATCAGATTGTATTTCTATAGAAAATGTTTATTTTGTTCTTGTTCTACAAAGAATCAAAACCAAAGCAGGTGATATGTATAAATAATGAATTAGTAGTTGGATGCCATTTGTTGACAAGACTTGAGGGCCTCAAGGTACCATTGACAAGAAGCAAAATCGTTGTTGCTAGCCTCAAGACAGTTGGTGAAAGCCTTGGCATCAGCTTCACAAGCATTGCCAGAGGGTTGAGGAGCTGCCTGGAATTGTTGAGGCTGATATTGAGGAGCTGCTTGATATTGAGGCTGTTCAGGAGCAGCAGCGGGTTGTTCAGAGGAAGATCCACTGAAGAGAGAAGAGACGCCGTTAGCCTGCAAGCAGCATGTTAGTATATCAAGTCTTAAATATTTCTAAATCTATACGTACAAGAGTATGTCCAACAGCTGAACCGACTGCAACACCAGCAGCAGTAGTGGCCACTGAAAGGGAAATGTCAATACAGCTCTCATTACAAGACATTTTAATGAAAAACACTTACTTTGAGCAAACATGCCAGGTTGCTGAGGAGCGGCTTGAGCAAGAGCTGGAGGAGCAGCAGCGGGGGCAGGAGCCATAGCATGCTGTTGAGGGGCGGGAGCAGGAGCGTGTTGTTGAGCAGGAGGGGCAGCAGGTCTAGGAGCAGATGGTGGAGGTGCTTGACGTGCAGGCATGGTGGAAGCATGGCGAGTTTGTTGAGCAGGGGCGGAACGTCTAGTCTGTAAAATCAAAGGTGAATACAAATTTCAATGGATGCATTTTGACAACTTACTTGGCGAGGCATTTTTGATGATGAATTGAATAAGAGAGAGAGGGGTAGGTTGGGGTTTGAATGATTAAGCTTTTGTTGATGGGAGGGGGTGAATCAAAACTTTTACTGTTTACACCAATCGAGTCACTCTAATTTGCAAAAACCTTTATCCCTGGGGTTGGCTATGGTGTTGTGTCGCTTTTGTGCGGGGTAGCTCACTGCACATCAAAAGTATCTCGTGTAACATTTGACACAAATCCATGATTTGACATTTCTCAATGGGCTAGTTGAATTTCAGCAATTTCTATCAACATTAGATCTGGTCTTTGGACACAGATTACATGATCATTAGGCAAGGCATTTCAAACAATGTGGCATAGAGCCATTTTACTAAATATACAGCTGCTTTAATCATATCGTCAGGATGACCTACCTAGCAACGAAATGGCAGAAGGGAGCATCGTCTTCAAAATAAAACGTCAGGCATTCAAGTCTGCAATACATTTGCTACGGAATATTTACATGGCTTCCACGAAGCATCAGTATTTCTGGTGAAGCGAGTGGCAATGCAAACTTGATTTACAATGTGGGCTTCATAATGATCTTGAACCATTGAACTGATGAGACGGACCACCTATATTTAAGCTAATTTTTAAGTAAAATAACTTTTACTAGTCATTTTGGTCAGCCAGCAAGGCCACCCACCTCCACCGCCACCTCCACCACCATCAGAAATTATTCAATCTCAGTTTATTCTGTCTGCTCAAGATTGGCCAGATTTTGCTCTTCTTCGACTTGATCCAGCTATTTTGCGAGATTCGACTATATAAACTGTAATGATTATCCAACGCTTCCTAATACACTCTTGGAGTACTTTTCAAGGCGCTTCCAGTGGTAATAATTGTACCAAGTGTTTTGAATGAAATTATTGAGCAATTTGCTAAAGCATAAAATGAGGTTTTTAGCGAAAATATCCACATTTTATATATAAAAGTCTTTCAAACAAAGTTTCAGGGATTGCTTTGGATCGATACAAACATGTTGGTCCAATACATACTATAGTAAAAGTCTTCATTTTTGGAGTCAAAAACGCGATTATTTGATTTTCGATGAAAAGAATGAGGGGTACCTCATGGTTTTTGGTCGATTTTTGACCATGTTTTTTTGGTCCCAAAAAGTTGAGCAAAGGTGTCAGGAAGTTACTACTATTCAAGCACAATTGTTTGGCGCCATTCATGTGGCTCATAAAGGTCTATAAGTCAAGATATGAAAGCTTGAAAACTGCTAAATTTGGTTATGTTTTTGTTTTATGGTTTTTATTTATGCGGCATAAATCACATCTTTGTTAGCTGAAATTTTCTGAAAGGGTAGTTCTGCAGCCTGCGCACTGTTTGATTCGAATAGGGGACATTTTGATTTTGGCAAAGCTAATCCATGCAAATTTTGATGCGTTATGTTGTTGGTAAGCTTATTAAGAATGACAATGAGAAAACAAATTTACTGCTTGAATACTATAGTTTTGCACAGTTGCTTCGCTACGATATTACTTTCTTAAGGCCAGTGTTATCAAATACTGCCTTAAAACCACAAACCACTCAATCCACAGTCAAATGGGTGACAATAAATCACTTTAATTAAATGTGTTATATTCTTGGGATAGGGAGTTTTGATATCTGATTGTCTACGACGACGTTTTTTTCATAGTTTTTTAGTATATTATAAAAGGACTAGAAGTTGTAAACTACCGATTGCGTCTAAAATGTTCTGCATGCCTTACAGCCATCATCGCCTCACTAATAAGCTGTATCATTGTGCTATGATACTGCGACACAACAGTGCCGCTCAACCTAATATTTCCAGCTAAATATTTGGATGTAACAGCATGCCCTGAGTCTGGATTATGCATACAATGTCTTTACGCCTTTGTGTCATAACAAAACGCGTCTATTGGCATGCAAATGTATAAAACACAGCCAAGCTTAGCAGTTTTCAAGCTTTCATATCTTGACTTGTAGACCTTTATGAGCCACCTGAATGGCGCCAAACAATTGTACTTGAATAGTAGTAACTTCCTGGCACCTTTGCTCAACTTTTTGGGACCAAAAAAAACATGGTCAAAAATCGACCAAAAAGCATGAGGTACCCCTCATTCTTTTCATTGAAAATCAAAAATCGCGTTTTTGACTCCAAAAATGAAGACTTTTACTATAGTATGTATTGGACCAACATGTTTGTATCGATCCAAAGCAATCCCTGAAACTTTGTTTGAAAGACTTTTATATATAAAATGTGGATATTTTCGCTAAAAACCTCATTTTATGCTTTAGCAAATTGCTCAATAATTTCATTCAAAACACTTGGTACAATTATTACCACTGGAAGCGCCTTGAAAAGTACTCCAAGAGTGTATTAGGAAGCGTTGGATAATCATTACAGTTTATATAGTCGAATCTCGCAAAATAGCTGGATCAAGTCGAAGAAGAGCAAAATCTGGCCAATCTTGAGCAGACAGGATAAACTGAGATTGAATAATTTCTGATGGTGGTGGAGGTGGTGGTGGAGGTGGGTGGCCTTGCTGGCTGACCAAAATGCCTTTCTGATAATGGCAATGATGATTGAGATGCTGATTAAATGGGAATCACGGGTTTGAAAGAACTACCGCTTAGCCTGAATATTTTCTTTGGTTTTTGTTGGGCATTTTTATATCTGACTACGCTAGTTAGCTTGGCTGACCACTAAATTATATATAACCGCAACTTTTTAATCATGATTTGAAGCACTTCAACATGGAATGTAGGCAGTACGAGTTTCTTTGATTCGTTTGAAAAAGAAAATTGCCGCTGGCTGAAAAATTATTTTGGTATGTGATCAAGATATCTTCATATAAACAATATAAACAATATAAAGCAATGACGAGCTAGAACTGAAGCATGTGCGTTATCATAGAAAGAGACAAGTGTAAATATATAGCATTCTGTCTTATACGACCCAATATACCTAATACTGCACTCAAGCGTCATACGTAATGGAATCAGTAGGTGGTCCGTATCAAGCCTGAACACTGAATGCCCTTTGTAGATATGCTTTATAAATGATACATTCTCGCTTGATAAAATATCGACTTTCAAAATAGAACCTGATCCATTACATGTTGTTTCAATCACTGTTTCATTATTGTTACTCAATTTTGTTTGTTGCTCTCTTTAGACTGTTCAAACTTTCAGCATTTTTAAAGGAAATTGTTGAATATGCAACCTGAGCTTTTGAAGCAGAAGCTGAATAAAACATATCAACGCTTAGTCTCACATCAATTAATGAGAGTCCGTGTTTAATTTGAGTAAACATGCACCATATTAACAGTTTTTACTACTGATTTTCAGAAATCAGGTTTTAGAGAAGAGCCTCCTGAAGCCTATTAGAAATCAAACATCATCTACGCTATGGCCAAAGCTTGAATATATTAAATGAGATATACCCGTTGTTTATTGCCGTATACAGCACTAAAAATCCAATTCACCCCTTGATGCTTCTCGCAAGACGATGAGATTAGCTTTATTACTGATGTTACACTTTTGTGGAAAGTCCGAAAAACCACATCTGGATCTGGATAACTGGTCCATTATTAGCAGATTTGAAGCAGTGCATGTTTGACATAAATCACGAAATATTCTAGCAATTAATTTTACGCCATATATGAGTGGACCAGACTGCGACAAACACGGCCAATTTTCAAGATGTGGAGATTATACACTTGATCCACAAATACGGCTTGAATACCATGCTGGCATATAATAATATTGCATGGGTTTCAACGAGTAGCGTTTTCCCTTTGGCTCTGTGTATACCTCCATCACACGATATTTTGGTGGTTTTTATTAAATAGGAACGCATGCCATTTGATGGCCTTGAATGAACAGATGAAAATGCAAGGCTGGAACATCAAACGTTTATCTTGGTTTAAAGCTTAAATCCAGGGGTATATTCTTTGGTAATCATCGTTAAATGGTTATTGAATTCACATCTAGACATTCTAGAATATATCCTTGTGGGAGGATAAGGTATTCCTATCTATTGAAATCTCGTTTGATAAAGTAACTAGATGGAGCAATCCATCCATTTATAAGAGTCTCATGAATGTATTTGTGCAACATATCAAGAAGAGCTGCTAGATCAGAAAAACGTACGTCAATTAGCAATTGAAGCCGGTAACCAAAAGAACAAATGGCTCTCATCATGTATTTTACTGCGCTATACCGAATGCTCGATCCTTCTTCGTTACGCAACATAGAACAATCACGAGAAACCGAGGTGCTTTATATCTGATAACTGCACAATTCACTGATGTAGTATAGGTCAGCATTCAGCTTTTGAAAAGCCTTTGCGTATCTCCTCAAAAAAGCGAGATAATGTCCTACTGTATGTTATGTAAGCAGAAGGAGACCCACAGATGAATTTGACCTTGAATCAAAATGCCGTTTCAGGACAATTATATCGCGGAAAAAGGTTAATTTTCAGGTTCAGCATCCCGAATGATACATCTTTACTGCTTTCTCTAATTGTTTGATCAGCACTTGATCTCTAGTGTTGCAGAAGCATACATTAAATTAGCCCTCGGGCATAAAAAGCCATTTTATTGGTATGAGGCAACAGTACCATGGACTAGTGTTAATGACATTAGCCAAAGCAGCATTGCAGATCATATGTTACTGGACCCAAGAACCTGCGTACTCCGCCAATCCTTCATATTCGGGTATAAAACTTGCATTAAACGTACGCTCAGTCGAAAATCCAAATTAGCCCCAATCAAATGCAACATTTTTGTTTAACACAATAGATGATTTGATGCCGCTATACATCTGTATCCAGCAATGGCAGAAAATGAGAAAAGATGAAGCAGTAATGATGGTTTTTATAATGCAAATAAATGATGATGCGTCTAAATTGAGAAAAATATATATACTACATATAGCAAGATATAGGAAACAAAAGAAATTACAGGGTAACAATTGGTTTTGCTTTACAGATTGGAGTGTTTCTCATCCTTCTCTACCTTCGGTTGGGGGAGGGGAGGGGTCTTGTTCAGGTATGGGTTTACTCTACTTAATTCATAAGCTCCCTTCAAGTTCAGCTGGAGGATGAATCGACGCCAGTAGCCGACTTCCGAGGGCAGTGTTATTGCTAATGTTGTTGTTGTTGATGGACACAGTATTGCCGTCAGGAGGTAATCCCAAGCGTCCCACATTGTTTTGACGTTGCTGTAACACATGTTGTTGTGATGTAGCATGGAGTGATGAAGTAGGCGTCGGCGGCGATGGCATTTGTTGTGCTGCATTGGATTCGCTACCTTGAATGAGATCCCAATGTTGCTCCTTGAGCAGGAACTGCTGTAGACGTCTTGCTTTGGGAAGAACGTAGTTTGGTTGTAAGCGTTTAAAAAACTCGATGATGTGAGGGTTCTCTATTTTGTCAAAGGGAATGTTGGCCGAAAACAAGGCACGAGCCAGATGCCAATCCAGCATTGCCTGGGATCTATCTGGTTGCCGTTGCTGCTGTGAAGGTTGTTGTTGCGTGTGATGATACTGTTGTTGCTGCTGTTGATTTATACTGTCAGTGTTTGGTGCAAATGACAGCGGATTGGCAGTCGAGAAGGCGGTTGACGTTGTGGGAGAGAGAGCAGCATCAAAGTAATTTGAGTGTGTATTCAGAGCAGATGTCGGTGAAGAATTGAGGATATTTTGCAATGTGGGATCGAATTGATAGTTTACAGTAGATGATGGCTGAGAGTGCAGCAAATCGTTTCTGTGAGGCACTGGTGTATCATGTCCTCTATCGTCCTGCTTTTGTCGCAATTGATTACGGATCTCTGATGAAATCCTTGAGCAGCGATACAGCAAATGTTGGTGCAATCGTGTAATGCCAGCAGCTTGTTCATGTCCGCAGAACGAACATCTTGCCTTCTTGCTTCTTCCATTGTCTGGCGATAATAGCTCAAAGTATTGCCATGAATCACTCAGTGGACGAGGCATGGCGAGAAGTGTAGAATTTGACAGAAGAAGAAAAGAAAAAAAAAATCAGGAAAATAAAAAAGGAACAAACTTCATCCCTTTTTCGATTCTCAATTTGAAAAGCTCCAGTTACAAAGTGACGTAGAAAGAGAATGCAATTAGATTGTAGCAAATGAGAAAGGTCCCTTTAGCAACTCTTTTTGATTACAAAAAGTTGAGAAACCTCAATGGATAGTGGATTCAGCTTTTGGAATGCCGATGTTACAATGAGCAAATGGAAGAGTTTGAGTAGAGGATGGATCATAGTAGGAAGATGGATGGGCATTTGAACAGTACCTGCCAAAGCCTTTGTATCGAATGATAGGAGTAGAGGAAGATGGAAACATTTTATTTACAATAATGCATAATTTATTAAATTGGGATGAGGTAATATAAGTATTCACAACACCATCATTTCTAATGATGAGCTGGCTGATTAGTTCTATATGAATTCCATGTGGAGGTAAGTTTAAGCTTTGATCTACTTGCTTCTTGGGTGGAAACTCATAGGGCAGAAATCTTCGGGATAGGTTGTAGCGAATAACCAAATGGAGTCGGATTTGTCGGTGCGGTAATGCTTGAATTCAAGTCTTTGGGTAGCTTGGGCAACAGTAGACATCAAGTGAAGAATGGCATATTCTTTACCGAGACAGTGATGAGGTCCATTACCGAACACCATAAAGTTCTTGGGAAAATCTTCGGCACAGCCATCAGGTCCCCAGCGATCAGGATCAAAAGAGTCAGGGTTAGGATAAGCAACAGGATCGTGGAGAGCAGGATAGGTAGTAGGAATGACCATAGACTTGGCAGGAACAGTATAGTCAGGAGAAATAGGGAAATCTTTGTGAGTTTGGTAAGGCACCATCAAGACTGGGGGCTTAAGACGAAGTGACTCCTTGACAACTTGACGTAAATAGACCGACTTTTCCATCAATTCAAGAGTGAGAGGTTGATCTGGGTTATCAGCACGAAGTCTATCTTGCTCTTCATATACCTTCTTCATCACATCAGGATGATCAGCCAGCAGTTGGAAAGTCCATGTAAGACCAGATGATGTAGCATCTTGAGAAGCAAACAAAAAGGTCAAGATGGTCAAGGCAATTTCACGGTTGGTAAACTTATGGGGGGCAGGCTTGCCCTTCATAGCACACTCCTTCTCGTTCTGCTTCATAGCGATCAACCAGTTGTCCAAGAGACATGTGGGTTCCCCGCCACTATCAATGCGAACACGAGCGTCTACAATAGACTCGATAAATCGATCATAGATGTATTCACGAGACTTGATGGCCTTGTAAACCTTGGTACCAGGAAGTGGGATAGGGAAGTTGACAAGCTCAAGAGCAGCAGTGATGTTAAAGTACTCGTCAGAACACTTTTTGGCAGCCTCCTCAGGCATGAACCAGCCCATAAAGACGCGAAGAGAAGATTGCATGTTCAGCTCTCTGAAATCCCATTGATACTGTCTAGTCTTTCCATTGTGAGAGAGCCATTCATCAAAAAACTTTTGGTAACATTTGTCCATGATAGGGAGGTAGCTGCCGAGAGCTCTTCTTTGGAAGAGCACATTGAGACCTCTGCGGTAGTTGTTGTGTTCCTTGCCATCCATAAAGACCCAATTATCATCAGCAAGAATGTATCTCATAGAATCCACAACCGCAGGCTCAACATAGGCAGGAGAGTTGAGGATCTTACGGCTGAACTCACAATTAGATGCGATGACAATGAATCTATCCAAGCAACATTTATTATTCGGTGTGTTAAAATAATTATGGTTCGATAAAATTACTTACCTGTTGAACACACTAACGCAGGACAAATCACCACTCTTCCATTTGGCATTGTACTTATCAAATGTAGGAGCCATGGAGTCCATCATGGAACCGATAAGAGGGACCTTGAATGCTGGACCTGGCAAGTGCTTCTTCTTTCTCAAGTAATCCACCTGTTCCCATACCAACAAGCCTAGAATGATAGTGATAGCCAATGCCATAGGTGAAAGGCCAGTCTTTTCCAAAATGGTGGCGGAGAAACCGCCCTTCTTGAGTTGCTCCGAGGCAACTTCTGTCAATGTGCTGTGATTTTGACATGTTGGTTAGTTCTGTGCTTGGCCAAAGACGCCATTTGATGATGAATTACCTGTTCATAGTGCGTTATCTTTAGTGCAAGCGAAATAAATAGAGACAAAAAATGAGAACAAATAGTTTATGGTAAAGAGAAACAACACAAGATCTCGTTCACGTTTGATTTCAAAGCATTTAAATATCAAAAAATGTCGCTTCTTCAAAGCAAAAGTGTCTCGCATGAGTAACACCGATCTTTTGTTCTACGTTATCGTCTCTTCCGTTTATTGTTCTTATCATTCAACAATTGAGCAAGTTTCATAATCAAAGAGAACAATGAGCACAGTAGCAGAGCTACACCGTCTATTCAAGCACACATCCATATTACTCTTCACAAGTTGGCATATTATCCGATTTTCTTGGTAAAATACAAGGACATCAAACCTTTTTTAAGGTTATATAATACTCTGCTTCAAATGCCACCTGTTTTTGGGTGCCATGTCGAGGTCCACAGCAACCTTTACGTCTGCAATCTCATCCGAAAAAATGTGCAAAGTGTACTCAGTTTAAGCTCCACGGCTAGATGATTTACATTTTACCCTGATCATACCACTTTTTTTTTTGTGTCTCCCAAACCTTTAATGTATAGATATTAGACCATTAATTATATAGAGCCTATGCCGATCTACTCTGGTGATACATATGCTGTTGCTGTCTTTTATACCATCGCTTGTAATCGTGTCTTGCTCGCAACCGTTGATACAATGTCAGCTTTGGTAGCTGAGTGATTTCAAATGTCATTGGCTCAGACCACTCTGGATCCAGAACAAAGGCGATACCTTCCTTCAGCATCACATTGACAACCACCTTACCACCATTGATTTTCTTATCTTGAAGTTCGAAGCAATCGTGGATTCTACTTGCAGCTCTGAGTCTTTCAAATTGTTCCGAGAGCTCCAATTGATTCTTCTTTTCAAATGTTGTCCAAAACAAAGGATTTTGCTTCTTTCCGTGTGTAGCAGCAGCAGCACCCACCGGTCGAAAACACCACAGGAACTTTTGGTTTCTCTTCTTCCCTTGGCCTTTGCTTCTTTTCGCTATTGTTGGTGGCGACAATGACTTGAATCCCCTCTTCCACCATGCTGTTTGCTTTTGCTGAGGATTTTTAGCTGTATCGTTCACCGAACCAGCGCGAAATCGACTATTCTTACTCTTTCCATGTATTAGGTTACCGAAATACGTATAAATCGTTGAGGCCAATGATATTTGCTTGCTCGGTTGTTTCAGATCTTTCAAGATTTCTGCTTCTGCTTCCTGAGGATGATGGGTTTTTTGCTCAAGAGCCGAGCCTGTTGCTGTCTCCTGTCGCCGTTGATTCGATACAGGGAGTGTCCCGTTTAAAGATGATGATGATGCCGTTGTTGCTGTTTGATGTATCAGAATCACATTTCCATAAGGCTGTCCTCGAAATTGACCGTTATGATTATCCATGTTTCTGTTTAATTTACTGATCAATATTAGGTTGATACCATGAAAGCGAATCGTTGTATTTTACCTCATTGTGCATTCACATTAAATCTCAGTGATTTAGTCGTTTTGGCTATTCAATAAATCATATACTTTATATATATATATATCAAGAAGAAAAAAAGGATTTGATTAAAAAACGAAAGAGTAAAAATATTAAATGATAACATCAGGTGGCGCATTCAAATTTCCAAATCGATTGTTATTGTTTACATCTGTAAAAAAAAATACTACTACGGTTCGCACAGTCATTATTGTGTACACATCTTGCATGCAAAAGGATTATCGTCTGTGTGTAACAAGGAGGTAGTTTAATAGAATAGATGCATAATCTACCCAGGAGATTCACCATTCCCGGATCAAGTATGAGTTCCATGAAAAAACGTACAACCATATTACACCTCTTTATTTATGCAATATGCGCGTATGCCGCATGCTGACAATATCAATCAACAAATATATGTGTATTGCACTCGACTACCTGATGCTACAAATCAATTGTAAGTGGTTGAATGTCAAATATGTAATGTAGCGGCAGCAGAAATTCCAAGCTGGAATAGCGTATCCGATCTCATTAGAAAGAATATCGCAATATGAGCACATGTGCAGCGTACCAACGTCTGGAAGTGCAATCAGCACCAAGTGAAAGTACGAAATGTACCCTGCTTGTAACAAAGTAGTTGATTTGTTGTTAAATTAGATTTGTTTCGCATAATCAAGTATTCAACTAAGCAGTTGAAACTTGTGTATGATACTATGTATGCACCTGATATTCTCATTTCAACTCTAAAGAAGTTCTGTAAGAGAAGTATACATACTCTTATACAACCTTTTATCACACATGCGTCGCAGGAATTTAGGAACGCCACTTCAGTACCGTTGTGGCCGCTTCTTGAGCATACAGTCGCAGGTAAATTAATTGAGATGCAGCTTGAGGGTTACGTGATGACACCCTACTTCTTTTTAATGCATTCAAGACATATGGTTCTCGCTAAGATTAAACCGATACGAATTCAAAAACGGAAAATCTTTGTAATTATATCTCTGTAAACAAAACAGTGAACCAAGTATCTTTGATGATCTCCTCCAGGTAAAGCTAAATGTATCAATTGTGATTCTATTAATGTTAGATCAACTTTAGAAACTCGAGGCTTGAGAAACATTCAGTCATCAATGCGATATGAAAATATCACCTTTGTCTGTTATTATCAAAAAAAAAAAATGCTGAAAAAAACTCTAAATGATAATAGGCCACTATGTATATAGTATCGTTTTTCAAGCTTTTTATGTGCTGGTGTGACAATAAAAATCATTATAGATCCTTATTCAGCATTGTACGCTATTTTGTCAATTAACTTTCAAGCCATTTGAGTATCTGACATGACTAGAACCAGTTGAGAAATGCAAAACTAAACTCAATAAAGCAGCAAAAAATTGCTAATCACATAGAGCAGCTGGATAAAAATCACATACACTGTTATTTGGGCGAGACGTAATTCCAACTAAAAGGTCGTGGCGTTGGCAATAAAGAAAAACAGACCACCAACGACGAAACTGACGCATCTCCTCATCACATTAATTTACAGCACCCACAAAGAGTATACCATCGACAAGTTAAAATAATCGCCATGGTTACTACTGTAAGAATTAAGCGCAGGTATGAGCCACAACACGCAAGCATTACGAATTGTCGATGATGCTGTATACAAGCGAGGATTCAATGGTAGTAGTAGTTTCGTCTTTAACTGAGCCACTATTGCTGCCACTTACAAGTAGTATAATAGATGTTTGTTGAAGAAAAAGCACAGATTTATACGTTGTGTTATCCTGTTGCCAATTACATGGCTGGCATTATATTTTCAACGTCCAAATACATAGAAGAACCACCTTAAGTAACATGCAAATTGGCCAAAAAGAAGATCGGCTTCAACTAGTGCAACTTTCAGCCTATTATGGTCCACATTGAGCAGAAAACCTGCCATGCTCCTCACTCTTAATTACAACCACAAGATTCAAATATAAGGTGTTGGAAAGCACTCTTCTTGACAACGTAGTAGTCATCGACCAGAAATCTTTCCTATTTAATGAGCAGCTAGTTAAATGCCCTGTAATAAAGAAGCTCTTTGCTTTCGTTTTAGATACAGTTGACAATTGATTACTCCATCGATTTTATTATTACGGATTCATCACCAATTTAGGAGGCTGCTAAACGTATAATTGGATCCTCAGTCGCTGAACCCGTTGCCGAATAATCAAGCGAGGAAAGCATAACGTAACCGATATAAAAAAAAAGTGTTTTGACACTACTACTTGTGGAACTAGCAACTCCATCAGGCTTCTTTATTGTTAATACAATTTTGCTCCCCAAAATTATTTGAGTTTATGGTGGCAAAAACACGTTTTTCCTTAATAGCAGCATAGAAGCTTCGATAGGATGATCAAGTCTATGAGATACATTCGATTCAGAGCGTTGTATGACACATGCTGGCACACAAAAAGGGTTTTACATGCGCCACTGTAGGAACAGTTAGCTTTGAGCAGCGATTGATTTTAGACAATTTAGCTGGAGCTGATCTTTTCGGTAGTGTAGGTCACTGAAACCATTTAAACACGATTTCACTACAGTCTCCTGGTGTCGAATCTTGTATCAAAGAATTTGTAGGTATCACAAATCTCTATTCGCTCGACTTTGATACAAAGTTTTGTTGTTTGCTTCCCCAATTGTGCTGACACTGACTCGACCTGTTCGTTTTCAGTCAATTATTCACCTTAAATATGGGTGTTTAACACCCTGGATAGACGTTAAGTCTAGCTTTACGGCTAGATGTGGCCTCTCTTCTGTTGTGGACAACCATCAAAAGTGCCCTGCTAACCTGATAAGCATCTCGTTCAATCTGAACAAGGTGTTAAATTCAAATTTGCATAATATCATTAACACTCAAGTTATAAAATTACTGTACTCGCGCAAAAAAGAAAGATGTAAGCCTTAGAATTAGAATAAAAAGCGTCAATAACTTAAGGATTGAGTTTCGTACAATGCAGAACATCAGCGACATTAAATAGAACTGTAATAATTTACTTACTTCTTTGGCAGCACGACATTCTACGCCTTATTTTTAGGCCAGATTCTGTCCAAACTTGGGCATTCTGAAGCACGAATAACTCATGTTACAGAGCGTTATGAACGCTCGGAATAGCGCCAAACGAGTCTTCTTAACTGCGCTTTACTTACTGGTGCTTTATATCAATTTTTTTTTGGTCACTGCAAATCTATGAAAATCCTCATATTTTTCATGTGTACTAGTAAGGGAAAATTCTTGAAAATCAGACGATCGCGTTTTTCACCTCAAAAATGAAGACTTTTCTTATGACACATATCAGATCAAATTGATTGTAAAGATGGAATGCAACGCTGGAAACTCTTTCTATGAGACGCGTATATGCTAAATCTTGACATATTCACAGAAAACCTGTTTTCATATTTTTGTAGATTGCTCATTATTTTTAATCTGAAAGCTGAATGAAACCAGCATCAACCGATGCGCCTTCATTAATTCTTTATAAATACATTAGAAAGTAAAGTATAACAATGACAATTTTCATGGTCAAATTTAGCAAAAACGTTTAAAGGATGTCAGATCAAGTCAAATTTGAACACAAAAATGACAACTGCACAAATCCAAATTTGAGTGCCGTAGATACAGCTGCTGTGTCAGAAAACTGAGGCCAAATCTACTGGCCGTGACGTCGGGTATGGCGCCCTCTCATTTTTCCGTATCCTCATTTTTTTTCCTTTCGCAAAACGCGTTTAGTATCAAACCATGTTGGTTTTGGAAACCGTTCGAATGATAATAACACTCCAACTTCTGATAACACTGCCTTGTATTGCTAACGGTACTTGATACTGCTACTTTGAAGTGGGATATAGTAAGTACTATTCGATGAACGAGCACTGGAAGACGTAGAATCAGCACTAATCGAATTTGTTTATTAGGTTTCAATAATTATTTTGCCTGTTTGATGTCGGTGCTGCTGCTATTACTTCTCTGCTATCTCTGCTGTCTGCTTCTTTGGTCTCTGTCTCTGGCGGTTGCTTCTTTAGTCGTTGTCTGGTCTCTGGTGATGCTCGTTCTTCGGCTTTTCTATGGTGTTGGTGTTGTTGCTACTGGTGTTACTACTGGTGTTGTTGCTGCTGCTATTGCTGGTGTTGCTGGTGTTGCTGGTGTTGCTGGTGTTGCTGGTGTTGCTGGTGTTGCTGGTGTTGCTGATAATTTGGTTTTTCCTGGTCTACTGTATTTGTTGTATGCTTGTTCTCTGGTCTATCTCTGGTGGTTGCCTATATTCTTCTGGTCTATCTGTGGTGTTGATCAGTAGTAACTTCTTTGGTCTTTGTTTGGTCTCTGCTGGTGTTTCTGCTGCTGCTGCCGCTGTTAATATGGTCTTTCCTGGTCTACTATCTTTGGTGCATGCTCGCTCTTTGATCTATATCCGGTGGTTGCGTATTCTCTGGTCTATCTATGGTGGTGGTAAGTATTTTCTTTCTTCTGGTCGCAATGATATAAAGCTTCTCTGGATGCTTGTATTGTTGCTTCCTTTCTCATGATAATGCATTTTATCATGATGTTTGTTTTGTTGCGTTTTTCTCTTTCTTTTGTTGGTTGTGTTGCCTCTGTGGCGTCATATGAAACAACACTATTAGTCATTATGTTCTATTGCAAAGTTATAATACCACTGTTGCTTTTGCAGTTGTGCGCGTTTGTGTTGCTTTACATACGACTATTATTACCATGCATGTTGCTCATGTATGCATTTTCTCTTTTTTACCTACGTATTACTATAACCCTATAGTATGTTCTTTTCTTCTTTCTTTTATTATTTTTATGTTTCTTTGAAGCATACCTTTTTTACGTTGTGTGGATGTGCCTATCCCTGAAGCTCAACAAGACTTTATCCGAGGCTAGGAGGTAGATAGGCCGCCTCCACTTGGTTATCACTACTTACTTTAGTGATGATTGAGGGTCTCAACGCCAGAATCTAAAGCTAGGTGGTGTAAGTAAGGCATGCTCTAGCACCTGGGGGAAATTTGATGATAGCAGCGGCTATATTGCTATTATAGCGGCGCTTAAAATTTTGCCTCACATCAAAACAGGGGGAAACCCTCGCAAATTTTTTTTTAGGTCAGCGGAGTTTTCAAGCAATTTGATTGGCTCAGAGGTTCAGGGACCGAATAATTCTGGCTAGTTGATCTCCTATTGATCTGTCATTTAACATTATATTGTTTTTGTAATAAAAGGGTATCTAAACTGTGGCAGTTTAAATTCTTTTATATATTCTAAAGCAAGACAAGGTGCAACTATTTGATCTAGCATCCAATAAATACTTTCATATGAGGGATATGCTTTAATAAATTCACTATGTGAGGAAAGTCATATAGGTACTACTGCCTCAGCTCACCTTGTTTTTGAAAAGAAAAGAGTGTTACTCCTGAATTTGATTGATCGCATTTATCGCACAGGTCACAATGATATGCTAAAATACATCGTATTTGATGTCGTGCTACAGCGCTAGCCACCAGTTTTTCCTTCCATTAACTATTATCAACAAATAATAATAAGCATTATTCTCCAATGCAAGGCAGTTCAGGAGTACGTGCAGCATTAAGCACTATCTAATAATATGAAAGCTTTACTACTCTGGTTTCAGAGCGAAGCCGGGATTTATGTCCTTTGTTTCCTACTGATTGCTGTATCTATCATATGTACAAATATCTATTTTTTTTATTATGTAGCGGATGCCATCACAGCAGCAGCATCGGCATATTTCAATTTTTGATCCTCCTTCTTGTCTCTATTTGATTTCATCATACCATGATTCCAAATCAAGGACCATCTAGCGCGAGTATTTGATTGCAATTGATAATACCATAAGCTACATTCCAAAGTTTGGTATTCCCACCAGGCCTTGAATAGGCTCTTGATCAATCCTAAACTTGCAGTGATGCTTGATGACTCCTTGATGCGTCTGATTAAATGTTGCTTTGCATCTATCCAAACAGCTTCAGCACAAAATCTACCCATCAAGGCATATGTCATGTATTTGTCGCCAGATTGTCTCAATGTCTCGTCTAGTCCTCTCAGTAAATCACTTGTTTTGAGCAATAAAAGCACAATGCGGGGCAATGTTTCCAGAATATCGTAAATTCTTGTGATGAATCCCTTGGCACGGCTAGAAACACGACTGATCTCAGTTCTGTCTCTATCACTGGATAGATTTGCTGTGGAAATAGTAGACCATTCACGACCTGTAAGCAGAGAAGCAAACAAGCGGTGGGATTCAGGACGACAACCTACCCGCAGAGAGTACTTCCTTATGCCTTCCTCATCTCCTCGAATCAGTGATGTCCACAAATAAGCATAATCAGTTCTTAGTTGCTCTGTCAATGTACGGTAGAGGCCATGATCCAGCAAAACAACATCAAACTTGAATCTTGATTTGGGATTCTTTGCAGGTCGAATCAAGATATTGCCTGGATGTGGATCACAGTGCACGAATCCATCCAAAAACATCATTTTCGAGAAGATCTCAGTGATTTCTGTCGAAACTAGACTGGGATCAATGCCGTGTTCCTTCATGAAATCCATATCATCAATACGAGCACCTTCAATGACTGTAAGGACCAAACTATTAGGTCTTCTGTATCCAAAATCAGCCATGTGTCGACTTACATTCCATGCACAGAATTCTTCTCTTGGCCCAGATCACCTCTGGGACCACCAATGCTGTCTTGCGATGCTTTCGTTCGTATGCAAAATTCTCTTTCAATTTGTACGAGTTGCCAGCTTCATGCTCAAAGTTCATTTCTTGAGGTAATGACTCTTGCATCTCCTGTAATATCCATTCAAAGCCAAAATCAGGAAACATGCGTTTGATGGTGTCAATGATGAATGACACTGTTTTCAAATCAATGCGACAAAATTCGTCCAGTCGAGGGTGCTGAAATTTGACAGCGACCCAATCGCCTTGACCTGTGTGTTCTTTGCGAAGTCGAGCCTTGTGTACCTGGGCTAGAGAAGCCACGCCGAGCGGCTTCCAATCAAATTCTTCAAAGACTTGATCCAGAGGCACACCGTAATCTGTCAAAAAGAGCTTACGGATGTCCTCCTCAGATGTCGGGTCACAGCGATCTTGCAAAGCGGATAATGTCGTTGTCCATTCGATGGGTAGAATATACGTCATTGCAGATACATGTTGGCCTAATTTGACGTAGATGCCTCCTAGTTTCTGCAGACCTGCAAGCACTTTCTCTGCACAGCGCTGATGACACTGGCTTTTGGCATTCAATTGCTCCTCTTCGTTGCTGTATTTCCTTGCCTGTGTCTTTTTGTAATCAACGGCAACGCTGATGCCGACTTTTGTTGCAACACTCATGCGCTTGACAGCAAGTGTAACATGGCGAGCTTGGGAGTCAGATTCATACCAGGTAAATCCGCCTGCGCAAAACAGAGTGCCCGTGCCAGCAACCAGGTAGTAGCTTCTTTTCCTGGGCAGTGTTGATCTCTTCGAGTAGAAACGAATTGAGTTGTATAGGGATGCGGTATACTTTTTTGCTGTGATGTTCATTTCAAACACACATGTAGACTATAAACGAATGGTCTGGGGGGGGGGGGAGGAGTTGTTAAGAGTAAAGGTTAATAAAGCGAGAAAGAGAAAGGGAGAATAGGCTTCCATGAATTTTAACTAAACCGGGACATGATAGTCCGGCCAAACAATTGTGCCGTAGTATAAGTTTTCTTTGCTTGGCTGTATTTTATTCGCCTTTTATCATTCCTGTTCCTCATACAAACATTCATCGATATGTTATCGCACACACAGCAACAGCAACAGCAGTATGATAACCCGTTTGCGCGTAATGACGATGCATTTGATTTCTACCAAGCAGATGCCACGATCGAACCAGATGTCGATTTAACAGGACAGTCTGCTACAAAGCAGCAAAAGCAGCCATTGATCAACCCATTTGCCAACCTAAGTGGCTCTATCGGATCTGCTGCTCCTTCTTCATCAGCAGCACAACAGCCTGAATTCAACAGAGTCTATAGCGGAGAAGACACCTTGGATGAACCAGTGTCTGTTACTATTGTAAGTCGCTACAAGCAGCAATCACACAAAATCCAAGCATCCAATTCTCAGAGAAATGTATAGCTTCGTGATATGAAGCAAGTAGGAAGAAAGCTGCAACAGGTGTTGCATCCCAAAGGCGATCGCAGCGTCTTGAAGGATTGGGATTTATGGGGTCCTCTGATTCTATGCTTGGCATTGGCCATCACATTGAGCACAAGCGTCCCCTCAGATCAATCAGTGCCTATTTTCACTGGTGTATTTGTCATTGTTTGGTTGGGTGCAGCTGTAGTCACCATGAATGCTAAGCTACTGGGTGGATCTGTTTCTTTCTTTCAGTCAGTGTGTGTTATTGGATATTGCATTTTCCCTTTGGTGGTGGTTGCATTCATTGGCATCTTTGTAGAGACAGTTTGGTTTAGAGTGCCTGCCTCTTTATTCGCATTTGGCTGGTCTACGTATGGTAAGTAGCACTTTGTGTATAGGTGATAGCGCACATTCTTTATTTATGCATCCATGCTATTAGCTTCCATTGGATTTCTATCAGAGTCAAAGGCACATTTAGCCAATCGACGAGCATTAGCAGTGAGTATCATGATGAGTGGGATCTTGAAGACATGAACGCTAATAACACTACCCATCCACTAGGTATACCCTCTCTTTCTCTTTTACCTCATCATTGCTTGGTTAGTGGCTGTATCATAAGCCTTGAGTGATTATTTTATTAGTAGTAATAAATATGAAAAAATTAGTATTGTAACATTAGAACTTTCTGTTTGGCATCAAGGTTGCTGGTAGTTTCTCTGGTAACTGTGCTCCACCATGTACTGCTTTAATTAAATGCATGGCAATGCAGAATTCATCTATATCCATATAGCCATCATTGTCGAAATCGGCCAGCCGCCAAATTTGCGCCAATTGATCATTGGGGAGCCCACTTTCCATCAGGATGGGCTTCACATCACCACCAGACACTTTGCCATCACGAGGACCCAGCGATTGGAACCGAGGCAGGTAAGTGTGCTTGTCAATGGAATCAAAGTGCCAGTAAGAGGGAGGAAACTCGCCTGGGCCTGGTATACTATCTGCTTGGAAGGGGTTTCTTTCATTTTGCTCGAGCTCAGGATTCATGGTAGGGAATTGAGACATGAGGCGAGGCAAATCATTCGACAGGGCCTACATGGTGCACGGCTGAATATCAACACGGCTCGCTTTAAACATGGCGGCTTACCTCATCCACACGTTCAATCAGCTCGTCCTTGAGTGATTTAAACTTGTCCATATCGTAGTGAGCCAAATTTTGCTTGAATCTTTCAGGGTTAGGAAAATCGCCAGCAGGCAAATGATTGCGCTGTTGTATCTTGACAAATTCAGCAGCCAAATTGTTAAGCAAGGCCTCCTGCTTCTTCTTTTTGCCAAACATGGCTGGCATCTCCTTCTTTAAATGACTGATAATCAAAGCATGCACACGAGCCAAACGAGCACGCTTTACAATTTCGTTGATTTTACGGATAGCAGCATTGCGTCTCAGTTCCTTCAAATCTCTCAGCAAGTCCTTGGATTCAGCCTCAATCAACTCTCGACAATCCTCGAAGCAGTTGGGTGGTTTCTCGGTCCAGAAGGAGCTCAAATAGACACGCATCACTTCAGGTGTTTGCACGACTTTGCCCAAAGACCACATCATGGCACCATACACACGCATGAGCTGCTGCTGGCTGACCATATCGCTCTTATTCAACACCACTCGTACCTTTTCCTCTTGTCCTCGAAGACTGTGGATCGCCAATTTAAACTCGTTGGAGATGTCCAATTTGTGAGAATCAAACATGAGCAAGATCAAATCAGCACGTTCGGCAAACCATTCAATGACCTGAGTGAAATCATAGCCACGTTCTGTCAGTTGTTTGTCGCCTGCCAAGATACCAGGTGTGTCAATGATGGTCATGTTTTCCAGCACGGGTGAGGTCGTTTGAGAGACTTGGAATCTCGATAAGAAGGCCTGTCCAAATCGATTCAAGCCTCGGAAAGGTAGTTCTTGGTTCACAGCGGCAGCATTGCCAGGAATGACTCGTTCCTCTGTACCGTGCATGACAGATACGAATCTATCTGTGGTGGGTTCAACGCCAATATGCTCACCTGGATAGGCCTTGTCCAGCAAGTATCGAATAAATGTCGTTTTGCCCTGTTTAGGATAACATGTCAATGATGCTGGTATGAGCTTGTAGAAATTAGGAGATATTTACAGTGGAATATTGACCGATAAGGAGAACGATAGGCTTTGCTTCAATATCAGAATCAGTCAAAGGGGCAGAGTGGAAGCCTGTTGTGAAAGCATTGGTCTAAACTGCAGGTGGAATTCAACATGTGCAAACCTTCAAAATTGTAGGTAACCTCCACGGGTTTGATCTTTTGCTTGTAAATGCGCTTGATGCCCTCAATGACTTTGGCATATTCGTCGTCTTCGAATGTCGTAGAGCCTGAAGGACTCGAATTCTGTCGTTCTTTGCCGTTCTTCTTTTTGAAATTAAGAGACATTTGTAAATGAAAAAGTGAAAGAAGAAAGAGAAAAAAAAAAGAGTAAAGAAGGGGGTTCTCGTAGTCCATTTTTATCGAGTTATGTGTAACTGGCACTCCGTGTTTTCTTAATTTTGTGCCATCCATACCAACTAGAATGATTATCCTTATTACAGCAGTAGCATCTTGTGATTTTTTTACCATCAGCATGTGTAACAAAATTCGGTCATTGCAGCAGATTTAGCTTGTTGCAAAAAGTCTCAATCGAACATCTTGTGCCCTGGTAGATGATGTCAATGGCGTGGTATAAAAGCCCAAAGTAAGCTATTGACTTGATAAGAACTGGACAAGAAGAAAGAGGAGTAGGTATCATTAGCCAAATACAATCGTTTATTTGAACATGCCGTAATAGAGTTTTGCTCTTTCAATAGGTGATGCTGTGTATGCTTGTAAGAAAAGACGATATACCGACTGGGTGTGTTTGCATAAGGCAATGTAGAAGGATATGTTCTCGCAAGAGGATCGAGGGGCTGTGAATATGCGCTAAAAAGCGAGAAGGCTCTTGAAATATACGAAAACTTGACTCGACATTTGGCCCAGACATGATGCAGAATTATGTTACTTGGTGTGTGTTGAACGATCAAATGTCTTGCATACCCCTCCCCCCGCCCCATTAGAGCTCTGCATGACACGAAGGAGTAAATTTCAAGGCCTGAACTTTAGCAATTAAACTCGTCGAGTATGCTTTATTAGAATATTATCAAGCTTAAATGCCATATCGCTTAATGGCTACAGCGAGCTCTGCCTTCTTGATTGGAATAGTAGCTGTCAAGTATTCTTTTTGTGCCTCTGCAGATTTCTCATTATGGAACGAGGCTAACGGCAGCAATGGCTTCATCACTTTCAATCCCTCAGGAAGAGCCATCAATGTTTCAGCTACAGTGACAGGTAGATCAGCACAAAGTAAGGATGCTCGAGCAATGAATATACTTACTATTTCTAGCTGGATCCAACACCAATGTCAAGAAGCCATCGACTACAATTTTGATGGATGTGCGAGGAGAGTGCCTGATCACATTGAGATAGGGATCTTCATCTTTTTCAGTGCTTTTGAGTGATGGAATTAAATCAGTTTCTACATGTGTGTGATTGATCAGTACATAGCAAAGATCTCCTGTAGCAATGCGTGATTCTTACCAACCCAGAAGGGACAAAGAGCATTGACACGTACGTTACAAATGTGTGGCATGAGTTGAAATGAACGCGTGTAGCCAACAACACCATGCTTCGAGGCATTGTAACTGGCAAGGTCACTGTATATACACACAAGGCGTATTAGATCAAGTAATGCGAGATTGACTTTTTGCGTAAACTTACGGGGAAGAGAAGAATCCAGCAACAGAAGCCAGATGAACAATAGCTCCTCCTCCACGTTTTGCCATATGTAACAGAGCCACCTTTGTACCTTTAATCACAGCCGTTGTATTGATATCAATCATTCTCTCCTCTACTGCATCATCCATGGGAGTAAACATAGAATTGGAGTTGGAAGCGATACCAGCGTTCAATAAAGCATAATCCACGCCACCAAATTCAGCGTCTGCCAGCTTGAAAAGAGCTTGGTTATCGCTGTACTTTGTTACATCTGTACGGATAAAAGCAGCTACTTTCGTGCCAGCCGATGCATTATAATCAGCAACGAGCTTCTCGCCTTCTGCGACCAAGACATCACCAATCACGACTTTACAGCCATTGTCAACAAGGGCATCAGCCACCGCTTTACCAATACCACGACTTGCACCAGTCAAGACAGCAACTTTGCCGTTCAAATTTGAGAGAGATTCAAGAGCCAAGATGGTCATAATAAGAAAAAGAATTTGATGTTTCGAACTTTGTGGTTTACCCCTCCTTATATACCAAATGGATGGTTTGCATAATGTTGCACAAGCGTTGATTTTGGATGGCCGTAATTCATGCCATCCAGTGCCATCTGCTTTGTACATTTGGTCGACTATCGCACTGTTGATGTAAGCTGTATATTGCATTTCGCTACGGGATTCAGAGGCTCATTTGTGGTAAACATCTGTCCAATGTCTCTGCCGCTAATTTCTATCAGTATGTCATGGTAATGCTTTATTGTTGTGGGAAAAAAAAAAGACTTGCAATATAGATTTATTCAAAGAAATTTACACAGGCAACCACATTATATAATGAGTTTTTCCCTTAAACAACATTACTTCTCAGGCTATGAGCTTCATTCCGGCTAAACCTCCGTCAAACATGATTTGTCTTGAACATTCCTTGTTTTATGGATACTATGGTTACATCCAGAATAATTAATGTAATGCGGGAAACGCACAGCGACATTTAATCACAAGCCTTTGCTTAGATCCAATTCATGCACACGAAAATTGCAGCGCAAAATTGACAAAAGGTTTATTAGACGTCTTGTACTTGATCACTCTCCTTTGCTGCTGCCTCTGCTGGTGCAGCTGCAGTCGCATTACCAGACATACGAGTCCAAACATAATCCTGAGCAATTGAAGTAACAGACATGCGAATGATATCCACCATCTTATCCTCCACCCATTCATTTTCTTCATAGGGGATATCCAACCAACTCAGAGGCAATGATTGAGAATAGGTCTTGAATTTGAGGTGATGGGTAGGATCTACCATGAGAATAATAAAGCCAAGTTGATGTTGTTCAGTGTCTTCTTCATCAATAGGTGCCATAGTCATCTTTACAGGTTGAATTGCCATGAACACAGGGCAGTGAATGACTGGAACAGCGCCAGACTGAGGGTTATAGGTTTCTCCTTGCTTCTTTTCGTCAGGCACAAAATGTTGTTTGATCAAATGATCAATGTTTGCTTTGGCAAGCTTCGTGCCATCGACGGTGGAATCACACATATTCAAATCACGGTGAGCTGGGTCCATATCTTCCTTGTTCACACTATCATCACTGTTGGGATTACGCACCACCACTTGTCCTGATTCTGTGTGTTCCATCACTCGAGCAAATGCACGGTACACCAACGCCTCTAATCCAGTGTAGCCAACCATATCATAGGCTAACCAGACTTCCACTAATTCGTGCTCTGAAATAGGTGGAGCTACTGTCTCTAGTAATGTGGTTGTCAGATTCTTGAGTCCTGTGCCTAATTTCTCAATGTTTTCCTTGTTGACCAGATTTTGCAGTGTCTTGACACGACTTTCAAGTAACTTGGTAGCAGAATCAGATGCAACAGAGCGATTGATCTGTTCTGTGGTGGTCTTTACAGCTGCACTTGCCTGGCTCCAAAAACTATTGCCCCATGATTTCCAGCCGCCTTCCTGTTCCTGTGCTTGTGGTGGTGCTAGTGGTTTCTGTTGTTCTTGTGCGGGTTGTTGTACTGGTTTCTCTGCTGCAGTGGTGGATGGCGTTGTCTCTGCTGGTTTGGTGTCTTTTTTCTTATCATCAGTGGCTGCATCGTCCTCAGTAGGGTAGTTGGAGATTTCATCCAAGAAAGACATGATATCGTTGGGATCCGTCTTTGTTTCTGGTTCGTCTGTTTCTTGAGTTTGAGAATCAGGTAGATTCAAGGACTCGAGAAACTTTTCTGCCTCTGAGAGGCTATTTTCAGTTTGTTTCTTGTCTTTCACTGGTGTGGTGTTATCAGCCATATTGATTGTTGAGCAGTAAAAAAGGCGTAAAACTAAAAAAAAAAAAAAAAGAGATGAACAGCAGATGTGGATATCCCACAACGCGCGAATGGGCAAATGACACGTGATCATATGGATGAAGATCACTTTGAAAACCATTTATTGTAGTCTAATTGCATCAATAGTACATCCAATTGACCGCTTGCTTTGATATCCGGCTGTAGAGACGATACCAACACAAAGAATTTGTCAGTGTATTCATTGAATTTCTCCTGCAAAGAAACAACATCTTCCATCCATGACACCGTGGTGGATTTGGTCCATTGATTTACAATTTCAGCTGCTGTCTTGGCTGTCGTTTTGCGTCTCTTGCTTGTTCTCCACTGCCCATCCTGAGATATCCTCTCCATTAAATCGCAAAACAGCAAGCAAGTTTTCAGTATATGGTGCATTGTAGCAACGCAATCATTGGACACAAGGAGACATCCTCGCATGGTGTTGTGCAAAAAGTGCTCGTGAGCTGCTTGGATCTCTTCAAAGTCTAGTCTCGCTTTTGGCTGCCATGTTTTCTTTTTCGATGCTGATATTGATGTCGCTGTCGCTGGATCACTGGTGTTGGTGCTGCAAATCAGCTGTTGGTAATGGACATCAATCACCTGAGACTACAAACACTCGCTGTTAACTTCTATCCCTATTGCCGTGTAAGACACTGCGTACCTGGATATGATTCCACATGGTATCCACCCAAAACAGCATCGATGCTCTGGTTCTCCACACGACTCGCTCATAGTATTCGTTGCTCGTCTTGTTGATGGCACCTGCATCTTCCTGATGACATCGAAGCAGTTTATACAGGTTATTTAGCGATATTTGCGTATTCTTCAGGCTGATCAAGAAGGACCATAAATGACTGTAATTCTTGAGATCAGATTTACTTAGAAACAGATCAATGGGCCATTCCAGATCAAAGGTGAGCACCATGCGTAAATCAACCAGCAATAAATCTGCAAACGAATACTGTCTCGTCTGATCCTCCTGTAACAGCAACTTGAATCCTTGCAATTGGTCCTCTGCGTCTGTGCCAATAGACGCTTTGCCCAGTAATGCGTTCAACTCTTGGTATCTGAAAATAACAGCAGTTTTGCTCGGATTGCCCGGTGGTTTTGCTGCTACCTTGTTGCCTCCTCCTTTCTGCAGTGTTTTTCGACGCCATAATGCACATTCGTCTATGAAATTGGAGGCTAAATCTCCATATTTTAGCAAGAATACATGTCTGAATGACTCCAGGTAGCGGTGCAGTCCATGATCGCCAATAAGCACCTGCGTAAATAGCCACTCTGCTGTTGATTTCCTCACTTGGCTCACGATGGCTTGTAATTGTTGTGGGTATCGAATCCATGGCGAGGATGCGCATTGTGTTGATGACGAGAATGATGATGAATGCAGGGATAACAACAGCTGTAGATGTCTCTTTTTCATGTCCAACGGTATCATGATCTTGTGCAATTGTTGCAAGTGCTGAAAAGATCGTCTGGTGGAAGCAAATGGTAGCAGGGAATCATCGTCGTGCCGACTGATCGACATGGGCAGCTTATCCATTTCATTCACTGTTGCAATTGCCTTTCCCACAAACAAAATAGACTCTACCAGCGCATGTGGCAAGTGAGAAGGGATGCGGTCGTAGTCAATGACATAGAGCCTATTCCACGCTGTTGCTGTCGATGGTCTTCCCTCTGCTGAATACGGCACGATAAAGAACTCGTTGTCAGGATCCACCCACTGGCCATACACCATCCAGGCTGTCAATTGTCTGTACAACACATTATGCAACTGTGCCATCATCTTTTCAATCTCTGCGCGGAACTCGAGGACGCCTGTTCTGGATTGATCCATCAGCAAGTCAAAGAGTCGACATCCATGATACTTTGCTGGATTCCGCTGTAGAAGTTGAGTAAACTTGTACAAGGCGGGCAGTAGCAGCTCCCATCGACTGAGGTTGGCAGTGATGAGTGCTAATGGTACGATATCGCCACCTGCTTCGTCGTGTCTGTTGAGAATGCGTTGTTCCATGTTGAGTATATCAGAGCGGTAGTCGTTGAGTGTATGTTCGATGCAGGTGACAAGTGCTTGAATGTAGGCACCATGCGGTTGATTGGTATCTTGTCTGGCTCCTAGCAGCTTCAAGTCTTTGACGGATGCTATGAATTGGTTGATTTGCAGATAGGTCCATCCCAACTGTCCTAATCGATTCAAACACTCGCGTTCTGTTGGATGCAGCAGAGGAAAGTTGTGAGGGATGGCGAATGTGGTGCTTGCGTTGGCTGGAGAGGGCACAAATACATCTCCTGGATAGCCTAATAGTACAAACAGCAATTCATGTAGCATAATTTCTAATCAGTGAAGAGTGAAAGAGAAGAAGGGGGAACAAAAAAAAAAAAAAAAAAAAGTAAATTTATTGTTTATACATGTTGGACATTCGTTGTCCGTTTTGGTTTAAAATGCAGAAGAGTGTTGGTAGTTTGCATTAGCAGTGTTGAGTGTGTTTTGCTGTTGAGATTGGAGTGCCATGAAGGGATTAGAGGGTGCTAATGGCTGTTGTTGCTGCTGCTGTTGAGGGCCCATGAAGACATTCAAGGGTCGATTGGGTGTCAGCGGTGGTGTCACTGGAGAGAATGGATTGTTTCCAGTCGCTTGTGGTTGCTGAAATGCTTGGTAAGGCACTGGTTTGGCGACCATGATTTGTTGCGGTGGTTGTTCTGTGGGCGAGCTGAAATTCATACTGGATAAGCTTGTTGTATATCTCTGAGGGGAGCTCATACTCATGGACCTGAAGGGATTGCTATCGTTTACATGACCCATGGCAGGCGAGAATGTAGATGATCTTGCTGTTGCTGTTGCTGCATACGGCGAGGATGTACTCTGCGCACTGATGGTTGCAAAAGGCGAATTAAAGTTGGCGTTAATGGGTGATTGAGACATGGTAGTCAAAAATGGATTTGGTGCTTGCATAGGAGAAGATGCTTGTGGCGATATCTCAAGCCCTTGTGGTCGTTGTCGAGGAAGAGAGAAGGAGGATTGTCTGTTGACAGTAGAGAATGCTGCATCCATAGTCGCTTGCTGCTGCTGCTGCTGGATACTGAATGGATCGTTTTGTACTTGAGGCTGAGTATACACTTGTTGCTGCTGCATTGGCTGCTGCATTGATGGCTGGAAGGGTGGTTGTTGCGATGCTAGTTGACTCACAGTTGAAGACCTCTGGTCTGAACTTTGTATAGCTAAAGACAAAGGTTTAGCTTGGCCTACACGATAGATACACGCATTCAATTATCAACACATGACAACCACGCATTGGAACTTACTGATATCCACTTGTTCGGCCGAACCATCGTTCAAATACTCTTCCAAAGCTGCAGCGAGTGATAGTGGTGCCTAGGTGTACGACTAGATGTCAATATCCAAAAAAAAAAAAAAATACCAACCTAAAAAATGACACTTACATGCTTGATAGGCGGAATTGCTAGTTGAATATCGTTCTCTAGCTTTCTTGCGTCGTTCAGATAGGCAATTGTCAGCTCTGTTTGTTGAGCAAAGGTCTTGTAAATGTTCAAAGCAGTAGTAGCATCTGCCTTATTCATCTCAAAGTAGTGCTCTGTTGTTTAAATAGACCATACTTAGTATCATGCTCATTTGCCAGATGTCCACATGTAACACCTACCCAAAATGTTGACCACGCCTTCATTTACCGCCTGAAACAGAGCTAAAAGATCTTCAATCACCATCCTATATGCAAACCAAGTAATCTGAGGGTCCTTTTCGTCAAGATAAAACTTGCATTTCAGCACGGACTCCATCTGACGCTGCAATGCAGCAGTTTCCTTGAGTAAACCGTCTTTCACGAGCAAATGACGCAGACGGCCTTCCTCTTTGCTGGATGATGCGGCTACATAATCCCTTCGCAAGTGTCTGAATGCAATAACTCGCTCATCCAAATAAGCCCTGTACAAGTAGATATTTTGTACATTAGCAGGTGCTGTTGTAAAGTCATCAAAATCAGCCCATGTTCCTCTCTTTCATTCAATGCTACTGGAGTACTTACTGTGGGATTTGTTCTTGATTCTGCTAGCATCCAATACACTAGGTCGTTTTATCATAGCATCCACCACTTGAGCACAGTTACCCTCACGCATTAAATAGTGCAATATGACTAGCACCTTATATGTAATCTAGGGTATCACAAAACATACGTCAATATACATAATGAGAACGCACATCCTTTATAAAACTTACAATCCAAGAACGCTCCTTTAATCTCTTTTCGAGATTCATCAGAATGCCATCAATGCTTGCTGGATTCTCAAACGTCAAATTCTTGAGTGCTTTTCATAGATAACAAGGTGAGTCGTTTTGTTGGCGATGGCATGGACAATACAACATTGTATTTACTCTGTAGATGCTTTTCTTTGGGTGGACGGTACTCGAGACGAGTTGCTTTACGAACGGCAGTTTCCATAATATTGCACTTGATACAAAAAAAAAGAATAGAAAGAAGAAGGGCTGGAAAAATGGAAAAAACAAAAAGAGAGCTGCTTATTGTAGTGATATCCCAAAAGGGGAGTTGCGGGAAAAAGTGTTTAACCCAGCAGGCGAGAGTTTTCTGTGAATGGAGCCAATAAGGCAGTGGGCCATTCAAGTGATAACCGTCCGTTGTACACCTGCCATCATCATCAACTTGAGCTATTCAACCATTTCCTTGAACATTTGAATTTATCTATTTTAAATGAAGCGCTCGAAATGTTAGTTTTTCTGTGGTAGTCCCGCTGTGCACAGTACTCGTAATGGATGCTTGAATTTGCATGAACGTAAATCAAAGGGATCGTCCTGCCACCAAGAGTAAATTATACAAACTTGCTCTTCTTTTCATTCTGTACTTGATGAGTCTACTTGCATCTATTGCTACCTATCCTATTACTTGGATATAGAGCTACTCGTTATTTTGGCTAATTGTTGGTAATAGGCTTGACAACATCTCTGTTTAAGCATAGAACTCTAACAGATAGATAAAGCATTGGAGCAATATGAGCATTAAATAGGGACAAAACAACATTGGTAGCATTGGTGCACCTCTCTATTGATTCATTTATCCAAATGATAGTTCATCGTTAATACAGAACATCCAAATCACGAAACTTTTTATGAAAACATCAATAGCTTCATGTATCAAACAGGCGCAGCGGTTAATAGCCACTCTTTTCAGTGTATCGTAGCTGGCAATACTTCAGAATTTGTTTGTCCTTGCTACTCTTGCAATGCGTAGCGAATAACTGAAGGATGAAAATCAGTCAGAATGAAAATCACCGATTCCACATTAGAACATTTTGTTACATGCGTACATTGAGATTGCCGTCCTGAACTATGCCAAGCGCAAGATAACCTCAACGCACCAGAATTGTGATTATATTAGCTAGACAAAGCCAAGCTGAACGAGCAAATCTGTAAATGAGCATGAAATTCAATGCTCGTTCATTCAAGGAGGTGGCCATTTCGAAGCAGTATCCAGTTGGTTGAAAAGGGTAGTTATTTTGACTTCATGTAATTCCATTAATTCTATATATTTATATGTTAAATTGACATCTCTCCTTGTGCGTGATTTTTTTGTAACGATAAATCAAAATAAAGGCGGTAAGTTTCTTGAGGTCTAGTAGCTCTCTTTTGCAGGAAAAAAAACAGAAATGAAAAGGAGAAGCTTGAATTTGTATACTGGAAAATGTATGCTCTTACAAAAAAAGAGCAAAAGAAGGAGACCTTGATACAGCCAGTAGTATAGTGAGATATGCGATGAGTAAACCTTGAGTTTCAGACTTAACGCGATTACAATGAATAATAGAGTCGCATCTGTTCCTTGACGTTTGCATGGAATTGAATGAAGAAGCAGTGGGATCAATGAATGTTAATAAAATAGCGTGCATGCATGTATACACAAGGGCGTGTTAATTTTTACCGAGAAAACATTAATAGTAGGAGCATATTCATGCAAACGCTCATTAGTACCAGCATTTTAGCAATTCTCAGTAAGAGCGAAGGAAAGGAGGGCCCGCACAAATACATTATGTTATTAAAGCGATACGAAAAGCAGTGTATTGATTGTCAAGTAGGTTTGTGTCTAGGCACAACATGACATCAATTATGGTACAAAACCGAGAGAAAATGTTAATAAGATGATACATTTTTCATTATCCATAATATACTCTGAAAGTACTCATTCGACCTCGTCAGTTAAAGATGCAATCTGTCTCCTCCTTCTTTCCCATTACCACTAGTAGTAATCGAGCTCTCTTTTTCCCTCTTTCTTGAATCATCTCGAGAACATTACCGATTCTCCTCACTTTTTTTGCTTTTAACTCCAACAGGAGGTGGTGATAGTGCGTGATTTTATATTAATTCCAAGGGCCTGTACCTTATTTTTCTAAACGTGGTGGGTTTGTATCCGATGTAGCTGAGCGTTAGGAGAACTTGCCAATGATGATAAACTATACTATGATTGTCAAACCATACTTCTAATTTGGAGCCAAGAAGAAAAGAACTTTTTTTAGCAAATCAGAAGTAATGTATAATACAAACCAATATCTAGTGGCAAATTCCATGATCAATGAATAGTACAATTTATTTTCAAGGAGATGTGGGATAGTGGGTTGAGGATAATCAATAAGGTAATGTTCAAAATCTAGTTACTGAAATGTGGAGCACGTTGCAATGTACTTGATTCGCTAAAGACATTGTAGAAAATGATGTGTATATTTAGCTTTTTACCATAATCACAAGATGCTCCTCTCCCTTCTCCCTCCTTTCCGTATTCTTTATATTCAATGTCTTTTTGCTTGCCATTTTACTGCCTCCTGAAAAAAAAAATATCATATTCGAATATCCATATAAAAGACCATTACCTTTGGCTGCCATTTTTTCTTTCTTACAACTTTCTTTGTATATCATTTATTAGACACATCTACCACCATGTTGAAATTCTTGCTCTTTACATATATCTGTACATTCTTGTTCACATTATCACAAGCTGTAAACAGTACACCTGATGGCAGACGTGGGCTTGCTCGTATCATGGATATGAGCGCAGCATCCGGCTTTGACAATTTAGATAAAAGAGATAGAGTGACATGGTGAGTTTGTTTGTAGCTTCAGTAATACAAATAGAAAACACATTGCTAATCATCCTTGTTTGTATATTCAGGTATTCTGGCCAAGATCTTAAAAAAGCTGCTTGTTACTCTGGTAGAAATAACTTGCCTCGTGTGGATGCTAAGGTGGGCGACATGATTGGAGCTATGGCAATGCATGGTTTTGAGCAATGCTACAAATGTATGCAAATTACAAACAACCGACAAAAGAACAAAAAGATCATTGTTCAGATTATTGACAAATGTGCTGCCTGTAAGGTTGGAAAGCATATTGATTTGACGCCAGGTGCTTTCAAGAAGCTTTCTCCAAAGGGTGATATGGACGTTGGTGTGCTCGATATTAGCTTCAAGCCTGTAAAATGTCCCTCTGGTGGTATCTTTGATGTGCTTGCCAAACTATTGTAAAAAAAAAAGGACTCCAAAAAGAAGATGCAGTGATTGAAATGACTAGACAATGCGAGCTCATGTATACCCATTTCAATTGTAATACTCAGTTTTCTTTGTATGTAAAATCTACATTTACCAACATTATTGTAAAACCAAAAATACATATACACACATGCACATTCTAACAAATAAATTATATACGTCCAAGATACTTTGACTTTTTAGATAAAATACTGTTGGTTCTAGTACTGATGAATTAGAAAATACTCTACTTCTTTTGGCATAATTTGTGAGTTATCAAATTGACAGTAGCTCAACTCAAAAGCTATACACTCAGGAGTAAATGCTTAGTACTTGTTCTAATGCTATTATCCCGGTGCATCTAGGAGTAGATTTACCAAATATAGTTAAAAAAACTGTACGTTCTCCCATAATTCAACTATTAGTGCTAGATGAGATTCATCTAACTACACTTCACTCCTCAAGAAGCATCGTTTGTTTCCAGTCACTCTTCAAATTATAGGCTTACCCAGCAAAATCTTAATGGACATAAGTGATTTATAGATGAAGATAGTTGATATACGGACAGATAGCAAACTTGCGTTGCCGCCTATTACTCGAAAGTGTTCTGAACACAGCGAAATTTGAACGTATTTGAGTCTCGTTTTCTCGCGTTCAAGGCCGTTTTAGATGGTCAAAATAGCACCAAACAGTTGCTCTCATCTGGTAGTTACTTTCTGACACGTTTGCTCAACATTTTGGGGATCAAAAAAACATGGCCAAAAATCGACCAAAAAGTATGAGGTACCCCTCATGGTTTTCATCGAAAATCAAACGATCGCGTTTTTAACACCAAAAATGAAGACTTTTACTATTGCATGTATTGAACCAAAATGTTTGTATCGATCCAAAGCAACCTCTGAAAATTTGTTTGCAAGACCTTGATAAGCAAAATCTCGATTTTTTTTTGCCAAAAGCCACATTTCATATTTTGCAAGGTTGCTCAAGAAGCTACTTCAAAACATACCTTTTAGTAAGCACCATCACCTTCGCCTTGAAAAGCTCTCCAAGAAAGCTTAAGGAAGTAGGGGGTGATCATGACACTTCATATAGTCGAATCTAGCAAAGTAGTTCAATCAAGTCGAAATTAACCAGAATTTGTCCAATCTTGAAGGGTGAAAAAAATAGTCGGAAATTGAATTATTCTGGCTTGCTTCCTGACGTGCCTCTCTTGTGAAGGAAATCAATGTTTTTGAAGGTAATCAGAGAGGAATTGCGAGTTGAAAGGAGCTCTAGTCAAATATGTATACTCTCTCTTACTTTGTCTAAAACTTTGTATGTTTGGTCAAGTTAATCATTGCAAATTGCTCCTCCAAACATGAATTTACTTGCGACATGCAGGATTGTCACCTTATTCAGCATGGCTTATGAGACATCAACGGTATGCTGTACTTATAAAAAGCGAAAAAAGAGGAGGCGCATGATGTGTTATCTGTGCCTTTCCATATCGTGGTGGTCCGCATTGACTCATAGTCATACCACAAACTATCTGAAACTGATAGTTAATATTGATAACCTGGCATGGCCACCATGATATCATACAAAATACTTACCCGTTGCTTGGCCACAAGATGAAACCAAAATTGTAATCAAGCAAAAAAAAAAAAAAAAAAAAAAAAAAAAAAGCAACGGCTTTGCTGTAGTACATGAAAGATAAGGTGATAAAGGTTATTTCAGACATTTGCAGCTACGTGGTTTCTGTCCATTTTCCAGCAGACAGTCGTCAATAAATCATGATGTATCTGAGATGCTACTAGTAAAATAGCTTCATCTTGGCTAGCGAGGTGTCTAATAATACGTCATGTTCAAGAGAATTAGTGGGTTACATCGGAAACACACGGCGGACCTTGCAAACTCAAGATGCGTGGAGAATGTCAAATATCATGGCTTTGGTTCGTTCGATCAGGGTTTTCTGTGTTCACAAGAATTCTATTATGTAAAGCTTATCAAATGTTTCATTGGTTCACAAGGTAAATTTTTTATTTTTCTTTTTTGTACAAGAGGGTAAATGATGTATAATGTAGTGAAATCGTTCCATTTTAATAAAGGGGGATGTCTGTTTTCTATCTATGTGTATATGTATATAAATAATGTATGTGTAAGGTGAAAAAAAGTGTAGTTATCAATTTATGTGTTGGCGCATAAAGACATGCACATGAGGTAACTTGCGAACACTTTGGATCTCTGGTGGATTTACAAAGTAAACCCATTCGTACGTCTTGCTTCCGTAATTCGCCTCCAGGATTTCTTCAATGTAGCTTTGAGAGAGAGGAATTTGAGACCAGAGCAAGATGTGCTTGATACCTTCCTCTACAGAATAGGGAAAATCATTGGGAAGGATGATGACAGGTGGGCGATTCTTATCCTCGATGGGCTTGAAATGTAACTTTGTGGACAAGAGATAGTTTTCAATAGAACCATATTTGCTCAATGTATCCTTCATCCATTGATTGTAAACAGTTTGGACCTGCTTGTTGCGATGAATAGACTTGATCTGATTTGTAGCTATTGATTGCGTATATTTATTAATATGCAAAGCAGGATGTAATGCGTTTATGCTAAGGCTACTTACAGACATAATGATACACTTCATTCCAAGTGAATACTTGATCCTCGTCCTTCTTCGAGGCAGGAGTTACCAAGCTAGAAGAAGTAGTACTATTAGGAGCAGCAAGAATAATGTTTGGTGGCATATTTAAATAGATAGAGAAAAGGGTCCTTTTCTGTAGTAGATTTAAAGAAGCAGAGAGATGACAAGAAAATGCAGGAAAATAAGGGTCCATTTTATAGTTTTTTCAGGTGTCAATGGCTGGATCAATATTTTTGCATTGAACGTCATTGGAGCATAGTGCTATCATATATTAGTTCAGCCAAAGGTTTAAGCGGAACAGCCATCTCTGATGTGTGCTGCAACAAAAAAAAAAAAACACACCAATGTAAACCCTGCTTCGATTGACCAAATTGGAAAAAAGAAGTCTTTAATCACACCCTCCTTCACGCCCTTTCTTCGTTTTCTTGCGATTTGTGATACGAAAAAGAAATACCCAGCTTTTCTCTTTTTCCACACAAAAGACGCATATATACACATTTAACAAACTGAATGTCAATATTACCACATCACTACAAGAAGAGTGAGCAAGATGAATATGTACGGCAACTATTAGTGCTATTTCCAAGAGGAGGTAATGCTCAACGGACAGGCCATTATGCCACCAACCAGAGAGATTTATGTTGTCAAGAGTAGATCCAGACTATTTTCGAAATTGCCTTGAATACTACAGCGAAAATCCAGTAGAAAGAATTGCGGAAAAGATCCTTGTTGGCTTAGGCGGACAGTATCCTCAGATTCCAGTGCCACAGCAATTACACGACAATAGACTGAATGCCTGTTTACGGATACTAGCACTCGAGATATTCCCAGACTGTGATGTTGGCTTTTTGAGGGATCAGGTGTTGCAATGTCAATTTGCTCATATCGAATCTGTCGTAGATGCAGTGGTGGCAATGCATGGACAGTGGCCAGAGAGACTGAACTATGGCAAAATGGATCCATCGGAAGGTATTCGAAGTGAAAAATACAAGCGACAGACACAGCTGCAATTGATGAAGGATTATCCACAGGTAGAAAGACAAGCATAGACACATCTCAAGCTGAATTTGCCACTCACTCACCCGATATTAGGTTTGGAAATCATCGATTCGAGCAGTGTTGGCAGAGAACAATTGGGATTATATCCAGAGTTATGATCAGTTGAAGGAAATGGGATCAGGTGGATTTTGGAATACCTTGCGAAACTTTTTCCTGCATTGGTCAGCAGCTAGCAATGTATCTGCAGAGCAAGGCCACATATCAGACTATCATTTACTGGGACAGCTGAAACAACTGAATCAGCGTGCAACGGATGTGCAGATCCAAGAGGACAGATATTTGGCCCAGAAAATCAATATGATTGAGTACACTGATAACCAACAGCTGATGACTTGCGGTTGTTGTTATGGAGACTATACGTTTGAGCAGCTGTCGTTTTGCACAGAGGGAGATCATGCATTTTGTCACGACTGCATCAATCACTACATGTCAGAGGGGCTGTTTGGCCAAGGCACATTACGAGGACAATCGCGCATTCAGTGTATTTCATCAACAGACGAATGCGAAGGCTGCCTGCCAACACAGATGCTGCAGCGTGTCGTGACGGAGGATGTGTGGAAAGCGTATGAGAATGCCCTGCTGGAAGACTGCTGCCGACAGGAGGAACAGCGTATTCAGTGCTGCGCTTGTTCTTACTTTGAGCTGGATGAATCGACAAAACCATTGGAATCCACCCTTTTGTACGCTAACCGCGCAATTCAGTACATTGCACAATGGACCATGGTAGTTGAAATATTGGTTTTTAGTTTTGTATTGTACAAACAAGATAATCAGTTCTTACTTTTTTCTACTTTTGTATTTCTATTATCCATTCAATGGATTTCTTTCCAACAGTGGGATATAAAGAACGATCTGGAAATTGCATATGCCAGAGTAGCGAGATCAAGACGCGGTGTGTCGTTCAGATGCCAAAATCCAGCCTGTAGAACGATAACATGCTTGGAATGTCGACGACCAATGCGTGGGCCACATAAGTGCTGGGAAAAAGAAACAGATGGACTGAGGCTGTATGTGGAGAAAGCCATGGCAGATGCAGTGAAACGTACGGTAAGTGTAGTCTTTATTAGCAGCAGTATCTCTACACAACGGCAATACTAAATCAGGACTGATAGTGCCCTAATTGCTCGTTATCATTTCAGAAATCAGATGGCTGCAATAAGATTGTATGCAGATGTGGTTATACAATGTGCTATGTTTGCCGAAAAGACATTGGCAAAGGTAAAGTCGCTTTATAGTGTTGTCGATGTATGACTCATCTTTTATATTAAACAGAGTCTTACTCGCATTTTTGCCAGCACTTCCGTGATAGGCCTGGAACCAAATGCAACCAATGCAACAGGTGCGATTTATACAAGACAGATCCAGAGGATGAATTGGTGCAGCGTGCATCCGCAAGGGCTCGAAACCAATACCTTCAAGCGCATCCTCAAGCAACGAATCAAACAAACAATATCCGAATTGGACCCAAAACCACCATTGATAAGGTGGAAGAATACAGGCAAGCCTGTGTGCTGTGGTGTTTGGAGAAAGGACTCGAGTTGATAGTGTAGTTATCAGTAAATAAAAAAAAAAAAAAAAAGTACATGACACCCCCCCCTCTCCCTACTCTCTTTGCTTTGATTGATTTACCCGGATAGAATTCCAAATGACATTTGATAAAAAGGAACCCAGTTTAATGAATCAACACATAAAAAAAAAACCGGGGAAGCTTATTTGGTCCCTCTCTCTCATCTCCATTTTCTTTTTTCGTCAAAAAATGCCTTTATTAATACAACAACAAAATCAACTAGATTCAATACAGCAGCAGGATAACGTTACAATTAATAACCAGTTGTACGAATGTAATATATGGTAACTTGATGATTTGTGTTACAAGCTTTGCTCATTCAGACTAAGGAAAGTAAAGTTTAGACATTGCAAGATATCCTGTTTTGACACTTTGTGGCCATTTATTTTGGTAAGTCCTTGCATTTGTTTGTTATGATGATACGATTTCAATGTAGAATTATATCATATTTCAGCTGGAAATGTCTAGTCGTGTGGCTTAAAACATGCAACTTGGAAAATCACGACACAACGTGTCCTGTGTGTTTCAAAGTATGCGAAGAAAAGAACGACATTATACCCATCTACGGAAGAGGAGAAGAGAAGGAGGAAACAGATATACCAACGAGACCCAAGGGCCATCGACCACAAGTCATTACCTATGCCATGCGCGCAACAACGGCAGGTGAAAACGAAGACAGTGAAGGGTTTAGGCTGTTTAATCGGCAGATCATTGTGAATTCAACTAGTCAGATATTACCTAGTCTGACCATGGATGGGATACTGTCACGCTTGGTGTTGATGCTTGTTTGTCTGTACGTTGTTGCTCTTCTTTTCCGCTAGATAGCGAAATAATGCAGAATATCGCATCATACGAATACAATACACTTTCGTCATTGGATACATTTTGAGAATAAATCAAAAAACCAGACTCTCAAGGTATACAGCTTTCTTATGAAATGCATGATTTACCCACCTGGATTGCAAGGGATGCTTGGACTTTATCTTGTTTACGTTCTGCCTACATCATGAAAGCACTTTAATTTCATGGCAAATCATAGCCCACACATCGACATCCAAGTATTGTGTGATACTCGCTTATTTTCACACGATGGCCAGTGAGGGATGAGGGTGGGTTAGTTTGAATTTCCTTTTTTGTGCTATTTCTCGCAATAAGAAACGGAAATGTCGCCATAAAATGGCGCAATCCAATCATGTAAATCAAGTGAACATTCCAATTGTGCAAGACATTTCAGGCACACAAAAAGACCACAAATCTGAAATCTTCATTTCTCTCTTTTCTTTCTTCATTTTTCATATTTCCTCTTTTTTTATTTTCTTCGTTTTAATTAATTAAAATCATCAACATCATTTCATATAAATACAATGGCAAATGCATCCAATTCTTCCAACATTTTACCTCCCATCTCCATGTTCACCTCTAGATCAAGCAATAGCCCGCAGACATTCATGCCCGCATCGCCACCGTCATCTGGTTATGATAAGCAATTGAACCCTCTGCCAATCCTGCCCAAACAGCCTCTTCCTCCTTCTTCTTCTTCTTCTTCTCATTATAATCATCATCATACAGACAGACAGACAGAGCTTCTGTCTCCTCCTCTGTCTTCTACGTCCACCTCTACTTACTATCAAAAACAACCCTCTACCACTGCTTCATCCACCTCATCTACATCTTCCTATACCCCAACTACACCAGATCAAAATACATTATGGGCACTATTCAGTCAATTTCAGCAACAACAACAGCAGCAACAGCAACAGGAACAACAGCAAAAGACGGATGCTTACAGATATGCGTCCAAAGAAGCCGAGCCTAATCGCAGAGCATCGGACCCAGCCTCACTCAACAACACACCTATTGCGACATCATCGGATCGAGTGTTAACATCTGAAGAGGTGCTCGCTGAAAAAAGGAGAAGAAATGCAGGAGCTAGCGCAAGATTCCGCGATCGTCGTAAGCAGCGTGAACGAGAACTTCAAGATAAATGCCATGAACTGGAACAGCGTTCAAAGGAATTTGAGAATGCATTAAGACGCATTGATCCAGACCATCCATTATTATTAGCAAAGCAACTACAACCTTCTTCTTCTCATTCAGCAGCAGCAGCTACAGCAGCATCGCCTTCATCCGAGTACAATCATCGTCGATCGGTGACATCGTCCTCACCTCCTCCTCCTCATTCTCAATCCTCAGCTTCCCATAGCTATGCATCAGATCAAAGCACCTTGTTTGATCGTGTCAGCCAACTGGAGCATTTGATGACTCGATTCAAAGAAGAGAAGGAAACCGATGTACAAAAGCTGGATGAATTAGAGAAAGAGGTAAGCATCCTTTGCTGTTTATTCTGGCACATTGACTAAACATGCCTGATAGAACAAGTACCTTCGATCTCTACTGGTGCCAGTGAGTCTACCCTCTGCTGTAGCATCATCATCAAGAAGAGACAGCGCCAGTGATAGCGACAGTTCGGCCGTTAGTCATACTTCCGCCAATGGCTCTACTAAACGTAAACAGCATTCCTATCAGGATCAAGAGCATAAACGACTTCATTTATCTTTCCCATCTTCGCATCAACATCATTCCGATGATAAATAAATCTGAATTGAATATTTATAAAAGTACATGTGATCTGCTGTGAGCTTTATTTGTCGTAGAAATGCTTGTACAGAGACAGGCAATTGAGAATGTTGACTATAAAATCCTCAGATTCGCAGTAATCTTTGTTCTGATAATCCGTAAGAATGACTTGAAGCTATTAACAATGATTAAATTCTCAAAATGCAGTTGCTAATGTTTCATATCCACATTTTCTTCATGCGCGAATATGAAACCATATCCAATTTATATTCAAATCAGCGGAATCGCGACATATACATTCCTGAGAGTGCATAAATGATGTTTGCAATTGGCTTGGGTTTGATAGTACAGTAAAAAAAAGCTTTCAATCACTTGCTCATGAGATGTTCAAGTGTCGTTACCATACCAAATTACGTTATACTCAGCATTGAAATGTTTGATCATCAGCATTCGCTATCGCCATGGTTACTGAAAAGATAGAAACACACTGTTCAAGCCTACAAAGGCATTTGGCATGTATATTTTGATTCATCATGACTGTCAACATTCTATGTGTTCTCGAAGAATGCCTTAAAAGTATAGAGAGGAAGAGAATGCAACATTTGTATTAGAGGTGCAATGTGTCTTATATGTGCAATTGTTAAATATGTAGTTTCAATACTCTTTTTAAGGCTAAATTGTCAAGAATTCTTCGTGAGACTACATGAGCATCTAGTAGTCTCGGATGAAAGATGACACGTCTAATATGAAAAATCATAAAAAAATTGAATTAGATAGAAATAATTTGCTTTTAATATGTGCGTGTATAAAGGGAATTTGCTGATATATACTTTCATAGAAATAAATGGTGAGTTTGTTGATGTTAAAGTGCAAATAAATATATAAAATGTAAGGAGAGTGTAAGTGTGTGTAAGTGCGTGTAAGTGTGTGTGTGTGTGTGTGTGTGTGTGTGTGTGTGTGTGTGTGTGTGTGTGTGTGTGTGTGTGTGTGTGTGTGTGTGTGTGTGTGTGTGTGTGTAATTCAAAATGCAAAATTTTGTGTGTACATGTATATATAGTATCTAACAAAAGAAAGAAAAAAAAAGTATAAAAAAGAAGGGAAATGGGATATAACGAAGGATATGAGGGAGCTGTCTTTGGGGTATCATATATGCCTGTATTACTGTTGATAGCTTATTGTCGAGTAGTTTCCTCGGAATCTCCAAAATGAATGGTTGAATGGGCAGTATGGCTATGACTAGCGCCACCTGTGGTTGCGGCTGCTGCTGCCGCTGCTGCAGCATAAAAGTTGGCCATCATGGCCGCTGTTTGATCCTCGTTATTGACGCCATCTTCATCATTGATCCTGTATTTAGCCTGTAGAACAGCAGCCAGGCTAGGGTTGATAGAGAATTGCCCAGGTAATGCCACGCCCAAGCTTGCGCCGGGAGTGGAATCCATCATAACCATATTGATCTCCTCCATCAGACGCTTGTAGCCTTGAACATGTTGCAGTTTCAATTTGCATAGTATGTGTTTCACCCGTTCGGCAATGCGTTGTCTCTCTCTTAGCTCAATATAGGAGCTGGAAAGGATCTTTTGAACAAGACTTACACCGTGCACTTGGTCATGAAGCACTTGGTCGATCAAGGGGGGCACTTCATTATGCATGCTGCTGTTACTGCTGCTGTTGCTACTGGTGTTACTGTTGTTGTTGTAAGCAGTGGTGCTAAAGAACAGGGCGTCCAAAATGAGCACGCGTGCTTCTGGCTCCTGCCTTTGATTGATGAGCTTGAGGACAGTCAAAGACGCCAATTTGTGAGTGCAGAGCTTGGAGAGGTGAGGCAATAAGCGTGGGGCTAGAACTCGATAGCGGCCTGGTATGCCTGATGTATCCAGCAGCCAAATCAACAAAAGTGCTCCATTTGCATTCGTGGCTAACAGCAAGGCATGTTGCACAAGCGAGGCAGCTACATATTTCTGTCAGCCAGAGGGTGTTAGTTTAGCAAAAAGCCATGTAGTTTATACATTGACACCTGCCATACCTGTTGTCTTTTTGTCACATGTGGACTTTCCAATGTTGCCCTAACTGCTCGTGCACCAAATCTGCCTTGTGCAATCTTCCAACACGAATCAACAATGGCATCAAATATAAATTGATTGAGATTAGGCCCCAGACCCAAACAGCACTGAACAACATAATTCCCAAACTGATCTAATAATAGGGCAGGAACATAAGGTTTAATGTGGCCACATATGAGGGAAATCTGTGCTGGTAGTCTGCTGGTGTCAATAATCTTTTGAGCGGCCCATGTTCCGTTTTTGTGGACACCAATCGAGGCTAGAAACGGTGCTACAGTTTCCAGCATGATGGATTTCGTGATTTCAGAGCATCGTTCAAATAGCCTCTGGATCACCGTGTTGCCAATATAATCTAAATAACAACGTTTAATGCGGCTGCAAAACAGAGATCATGGCAATACCTTACCACTGCATAATTCGACCAACTCATCTACGCATTCAATAGCAATGACTTCCAGTTCCTTGGTGGATATATGGCCCGTGTCTAGTCTCTTTCGGATGTCTCGAAGGCGTGAAATATCGACTTTTCTTGACTGGCCTAGTTCTGGAGCAGCCGGGATGCTGTGGTAGTAATTTTGAGGTAAATGAAGTCCTGTGTATATATTTTTTAAGGGGCAGGGAAAAGTTTCATTTAGTTGTGATAAATAAGGAGGAGTAAAATCAACAAAACACAAACCGTCAAAGATCGGACCATCCGAATCATCTTCACCAAAGTCTTGCATGATCAACTTGCGCTCAGCGACAACTGCCGAAAAGACATTTGCACTAGAGTTGTTACTTGCATTGCCCATCATTTCCATCATATAAAGCATCATTTGCTGCTGTTCCTGAGGTGTTTGATGCCATTGACTGTGTTTGTCATTATAATTTCCCAACATTTGTTGTTGTTGATGATGTTGTGTGACATCCACCATCGTTGTTGTTGTTATTGCTGATGAGCTTGATTGGAAGCCAGTAGCAACATCGCAATGCGAACCCACAAGGCCACCAACACCACCCATCGATGTCGTCGTCGTCGTCGTCGTCGTTGTCGTCGTTGTGTTGTTGCCGTTGTGTTGCGATTTCATTGCAGGCACTTTTGCGTACCCAATGCGAGCAGTGCCAGTGCCTGGACCCATGATTTCCTTGTTTTGCAGCGCCTTCTTTGCCTTGATGGCGTCCTCCTGATGAAAGAAATTGATAAAGCCACAGTTCTTATGACTGAGAACACGGATAGATTCAATCATGCCAAATGGAGAAAATACAGAGCCCAAGGCAGCCTGTGTCGTATGAATTGGAATGTTACCCACCCCTATTTAACAGAGTTGTTAGTTTCACATCACACACTGCAAGTAGTCAACATTTACAGAGTGCTCTGGTAGGCTCTTGTGCGCTTTCATTAGCTGCTGCTGCTGTTGCTGCTGCTGTCATAGCAAGGCTGTTGATGGCCGCTGTCGGTGTGGCTGTCGGTGAAGATGTGCCAGAGTTGAGTGGTACAGCGTCCGGTTTGCCAAATCCAACTTTGACCGTTGACATGGAATGAGCATAAAGTCTGCTTCCCATCTTGTTGACAACAGCATCTCTCGCTCTAAGTGCTTCTTCCACGGTGGTGAAGTTGATAAAGGCGCATTCACGATCAGGCAAAATACGGATGCTTTCAATGATGCCAAATTTAGAGAAGATCATTTGCAGTTCATTTGTCGTTTGGTGCGTCAATTCAAGCTGGCCCAGCCACAGAGATCGAGTGGGCACTTGGTTTGCGGGTGCATCAAAAAGGCAAGCAGAGGGGTCCATCATCATCATGTCTGTTAAATTCATACTGCTGTTGGATAGCTGCTCATAAGATGATGAGAGGCTTCCGCCAGCGGTCAATGAGTCCTATAAGATTGAATCTATTTTTAATACCATGTTGCAGTGTAGAAAAAGGGAGAATAAGGGGACTTCAATAGCCATATGTATATACAAGGAGGGGAGATGCTATATTGAAGAAATGGTAACAACAAAATGAAATATATATACATTACCCCTGTCCAGCTATGATGATGCGTGTCCAGATCTTCATTCAATAGGATGGAGTGTGAGCCGCTAGGTGAGTTTGTAGCCGTTGCTGTCGCTTTTCTTTGTCGAGCAATCATCTCTAGTAAATCAGCTGAACTGTTGGAGCTTCTCAGAAATGGACGATTGTTGAATTGCTGCTGTTGTTGCTGCTTGTTGATATCCGAATACCAAATGGATCGATGAGGCAAAAGGGGGCTGTTCTCTTCCTGCTGCTGATGTAGTAGTAGTTGCTGCTGTTGTTGGTCCACAGCGCTCATAGCACGGGGTCGGTTCTGCTGCTGCTGCTGCTGCTGCTGCTGATGAGAGAATCGCAGATTGGCAACCGAGGTACGAAGGTCCTCGCCCCTGAAATAATGCGTATTGTACCATTCGTGGTTCTCTGCCAGCGTCTGGAGAGAAGAGTACGAATGGCTAGAGTGAATAGCATGAGATGCCGAGGACGATGGTGCAGTGTCATCCAGACCCAGCGAAGCAAATGTGCTTGCAATCGTGTTGTTGTCATCGCCCTTGAGTAGCTGATCTGTTGTTGGTGTGGTTGGACTCTGAATAGATTCGTTTATCCAATGATGATGTCTATTTGGATCAATCATGAGGTGCGATGTGGATTGCGTTGGCATCGTGTCTGCACGAGGTCTGCGTAAAAGTCTATTGCCGTCTTCATCGTCATGTTCCTGCTCTTGGTCGTACCATTGATTCAAACCACTATTCGCGCGTTTAGGAACATGTTAACATGCATGATTTTTACAATCATAAACGAACGAAAATTAATGCAAACCTTGAAACATGGTTACTATTCATTTCTGTATTCTCTTGTGGTTTTCGAGACACTGGTTCTCTCTAATTTTTGGGATTTTTTTTTTTTTTTGAAATGTTGAAATGTTGTGGATCTAGACAGAAATGTGGTGCCTGAATTTTTTTTAAGGTGAGGTGTATATATCAAATTAAATGTACAACGTTGTAGTATAAAAGCAAAATGAAATAGACAAGCACCACCTGAAAGTGAAGGGAAGAGGGAAAGAAGGGAAAAAGAGAGAAAGAAAGGGACAGAGAAAGAGAGAGAAAAGAAGAAGAACAAGGAGGAGACACACACACATACACAAGGTTGTTCTTATTTTTGTAGCTAAAAATACATCTTATATTTCATCAAGGCAGGGGCGTATATACTAAGGCTGGGCTGGGAATTACATCTGTTGCTTTACATGAAAATAAACTATCGAAATGTCATTTAAATGTACACAGATGCCAGTCGGTATTCATCCCGAGTTTCGTTGTCTTGTAACACAGAGCAAGTGAGAGGCAGAAACAGAGGGCAGTGAGAGGAGAAGGGAGGAGATACACGCATGTGCGATTGAAACCCCATTTTCTTACCAAGTCGAGTAACAGGTCATATTAGCATGTCAGTAAAAGGCGGATAACATGCAAATCATCATACAATACACTTTGAAATCATCTGACAGAATGTGACGATTTCACATCCTATTAGAAATTAGGATTGATAGTGGTATAACACTTGATATCGAGGTATTCCCCCTTCTTTTTTCCTCTTTTTCTTTCAATTTCTCTTTATCTATACTCTTTTTTCGTTTTCTCTCCATTTTCTCTTTTGTTACATATCCCAATTGTCATACCTGCTGTGTCTGTGTCTGTACCTGTCTGTCTTGCATTATCATCTTATCTCTCCATCAACAACATCCAGCAAGAAAAAAAAAAAAAAAGAAGCTCTATTGCAATCACAAATGGGACTCTATTATCGTACTTATCTGGAAGGGCCATCCACTGTGTATGGTTGCTCTGATTGTGGTACTCATTTAGCAACATCTGAATCTATTATATCAAGAGTAAGCATATATCCTGATTACTTCCATGTCATGCAGTTTGAAATAAACTCTAAACTCAAATTTCATTCGTGTAGCAATTTCAAGGCCAACATGGTCAAGCCTTTTTGTTCGAAAAAGTGTAACTATCGCAAGAAGACACATGTCAAGCATACTGTGCTTACATTCTGATATGTTATAGAGTCAATATTAGCTTTGGCAGAGCAGAGGACAGAGATATGACGACGGGATTACATCGAGTCCGAGACATTTCGTGTATCCAATGCTCAAAGATGCTCGGATGGACATATGTTGGTTCTAAGAAATTAATGTGGGGTTGATTGGAAATACATGACAGAAATTAATTCATATCTGTTTGATCCATTAGGTAAAAGCCTACAATCCCGAGAACAGATATAAGGAAGGCAAATTCATACTAGAAAAGAAGCTGCTGAAGGATTTATCAACAAGAGTCTACACTGAAAGCATCGAATACATCTAAAGCATTCGTATTTTATCATGATTCACCACTACCGCCATCATAATCAACACCTTTTTAGCTCAATCACCCTTTAGATCCACGTAGTATCGCCTTCTTCCTTACAACTCTCGGTGCTAAATTACAGTTTGACAACAACGCCGCCTTTTGAGGTCCTCTGCCATTATTTATTCATATATTATACGAGCGATCAATCCAACATCGATCCTCTATCTCTCTCTTCGAAGACCTGTACACTGAATTCTACCACTATTTTCTTTTTTCTATAATCCAGAGCAATATATTTGTGCCATGCTTTTTTATCTTCAATAAATCTTTCCAATGTTGCTTGATCCAAGGAATCTGAGGTGTCTTGGAACAAAGTCAACAGGTCAAATGTTGCTTTGCTGTACTGGAGACAACCTTACATGATATGGAGTGTACATGTGGATCTTGTGCCATCTCGCGAAGACACAACCATTCAGATCAATCAGGATAATCAAGAGCTCAACATTGCCACTATGTAATTAGTGACTAACAACGTGACATCATGGTCAAAATTTTTCTAATTGTAAAACTAAGAAGCAAACCGTCGAAATCAATAGAACTCCTTCTACATTCTAATCCATATATTACAGTAGGTATAAATGTGAAAGAGAAGAAACGCACAGAACTAACATGATTGCTAGTCATGCCCCCCAAGAAGGCTGTCAAGGAAGAAAAGGCTATGCTCGGCCGTCCCTCCAACAACTTGAAGATTGGTGTTGTTGGTCTCCCCAATGTTGGTAAATCTACCTTCTTCAACGCTCTTACAAATGCCTCTGCTGCTGCTGAGAACTACCCTTTCTGTACTATTGGTATGTTGATGTTGTTGCTGACTCGGATCTATTTAGACTGACCGAAATTGTGCGATCTTTTTTTCAAATTTTGACATGTATAGACCCTGAGGAGTCTCGTGTTGCTGTTCCTGATGAGCGTTTTAACTGGCTGTGTCAACACTACAAGCCTGCCAAGGAGATTCCTGCCTATGTAAGTATTTCAGTGCGGATAGTGTTGATATTGAGACTTTACTCAAACTAATCACGGCATTGCACATATAGTTGACTGTCATTGATATTGCTGGTCTTGTTAAGGGTGCTGCTTCTGGTGCTGGTTTGGGTAACGCTTTCTTGTCTCACATCAAGGCTGTCGATGCCATTTTCCACGTTGTTCGTGCTTTCGATGAGGCAGATGTTATTCACGTCGAGGGTGAGTTAGATCCTCTTCGTGATATGGAGATTATTCGTGAGGAATTACGTCTCAAGGATGAGGAGTTCCTTACCAAGCAAGCTACTGAATTAAATGCTGCTGTCCGTCGTGTTGGTAACGGTGGTAATGCTCAAGATAAGGCCAAGAAGGAGGAAGCTGCTACCGTCCAAAAGGTCCTTGATTATGTCAAGGAAGGTAATGATGTCCGTCATGGTACTTGGACCAACAAGGAGATTGAAGTCATCAACGGTCTTCATCTCATCACTGCTAAGCCTGTCATTTACCTTGCCAACTTGTCTGAAAAGGATTTCCTCCGCAAGAAGAATAAGTGGCTTCCCAAGATCAAGGAGTGGATTGACAAGAACTCTGCTGGTGACCCAATGATTCCTTATTCCGGTGCTTATGAATACCGTGTTTCTCTCGCTGCTGATGCCGAGGAAAAGGCTGCTATTCAAAAGGAATGCAACGCTCCTTCTGTTTTACCCAAGATTATTGTTATGGGTTATGCTGCCCTTAACTTGATCTATTACTTTACTGGTGGTCCTGATGAAGTTAGAGCCTGGACTGTTCGCAGAAATACCAAGGCTCCTGGTGCCGCTGGTGTCATTCACTCTGATTTTGAACGTGGTTTCATTATGGCTGAAGTCATGAAGTATGATGCTTTGAAGGAATTGGGTTCTGAAAGTGCTGTTAAGGCTGCTGGCAAGTATATGCAAAAGGGTAAGGAATATGTCGTTGAAGATGGTGATATCATTTATTTCAAGTTTAACGTCACTGCTCCTGCTGCCGGAAAGAAGAAGTAGATCATATATTTTTATAAATAAAAACATCAATATACAATTAAACTCTTGCTGATTCATGAGCAGTATGCATTATCTGCTTTGCAGGATTCTCGTGTATTTTGCTTTAATTTATAATTACGACAGAGTATCAAGAGATTTATTGATCTACTTGATAGTATGACATGGTGCAGATAAAGTCTTGCTATGATCTCTTATTGCTTTTGACGCAGTAGAACGGAACGCACCCGATGCAATGTAATTTTGATGGTATATTATTTGGCTCGATCAATCTTGGTTATGAGTGATTGAGATTAAGATTAAACAACTGATCGTAACTTGCAAATACATGTCTAGCTTGTCATGAAAAACTGTAAACATAGCTTTTTTGTTATTTCTTTGTTTTGTTGGTAACTGCTGTTAACAACTCAATCATCGCAAGACTGAAAGAAAGAGGAATCCCTGATGATACGAAGTAAGGAAAATTAAGCTTCGTGGGTACGACGACATATTCTGAAAAACTTAACGAGCACATATAATAATCATCATTACGAAACAGATAGTATAGGCAACCTGACGGTTAGCAATTGAACCGCTTGCCGTTCATTCTTGAAAGACTTAGTATCTCTAGATCGCTCAAGAATATATAATTATTCGAAATATATTGCCAATTTAGTACGGCAAATAATTTAATTAGGAAAAAGGGTGTCCATAGGGCTCTATTTTATGTTTTCTCTATGTAATTTATTTTTTGGTCCTAAAAATACACCAAAATGGGGATGTGGATCAATTTAAGAATAGTTTTATTGTATATACAGGGATTCAATGGGCACTCGATGGAAGCATTAGCCTAGAATTCTAGAAACAAAAGAGTAGCAGGTACAAAAAACCCTTATGGGGACACTAACTAAGAAAAAGGGAAAAAGGAAAGTGTGGTAGTGGCAAAGGAACGGCATGGATACTGGTATTGTTGATTTGATCTGGAGGAATGGCCAACGGATGGGAACTTTGATAATTACTTACCACCGTGGCATCGCACCGAGAAAGCAAAAACAACAAACGTTCATCAATGAGCAGAAAACCAGAGCGATCCAGGATCTGGATCTGGTGGGATCACAGCCAGAGGATGCACAAGGCAATCAATGGCATGCAACAAAAGGAGCAAAGCAGACCAAAAGTACGGTGGACCAGCTGAAGCCTTGTCTGGAAGACAGTTCAAAGCATGATCAATGCGATGGATACCAGGAGGAGCAGGTGGCAAGGCATCAAACAAAGTACTGTAGGGGGAAAAACTGTCCCGTTCGTTTAAAATTTTGTCTTTTTGCACAAGTTTTTGGTCATTTCTTTGTATACAAAGTCGAAATATATATCGTTTGAATGAGAGAAAGTAGTGCTATCTATACATAATTATAACTTTTTCAAAAACTAAAATCCAATGGTTTTATTGGTTAAAAAATAAATATAGAAAAATGTACATTTTACTATAAAATCATTAATAGTGAGTTGAACCACCTTTGCTCTTGATGACAGCCTTAATTCGGGCAGGCATACTATCAATATATTTCTGGCACTCTTTTTCTGTTATTTTTTACCACTGAATGTTAATACGCCGCTCTAATTCTTCTTTTGTTGAGGGCCTAGTGGGACACTTATTAAGACGAAGCTTTAGGAGATGCCAGACATGTTCAATGGGATTAAGATCGGGACTTTGGGGTGGCCAATCCATAATTTCGTCTAGGTTAAACCCATTGTCGGTGAACCATTGTTTAGTAATGCCCGATGTATGCGGTGTTGCTCCGTCTTGTTGAAATCGCACATCAGATGGTGTCTTCCCAAAGTGCGCAAGAGTGTCGTTCAATGATGTCTTCGAAATATCGACATACAAGCCCGAGTTTATTGAGCCTTCAATAATGGTAGTACCATAACCAGGACTCTCCGCTGTTATGCAACTCCAGAACATGACCCCACCGTCATTTCCCTGCAACTGAGACTTGACTTAATACGACTGCATGATTCGGCCACCATTCATCCAGTAAAAAGAATTACCATCTGAGCCCCAAAGGTTTATTCTTGTTTCATCCGAAAACACCCAACGACTCCAATCAGCAATAGTAAGATGCTTATGCTTTTTAGCCCACGCCAATCGAAGCCGCTTGTTTGTCTTGCTAACAAAATTGGTCTTTACTTTTCTACGAGATTTAAGTCCATTTCGTCTCAATGACTTGCGGATGCCATTAATTGACATATCATGCCCCATCAATCTTAAACTTTCTTGCGCTGCTCCGGGATTATCTAAAGCACCTGATCGAAGTCCTCTTGACACTAGGGACATAGTTTTAGCACCAAGTTTTTTCGGTCTTCCGCCAAGAGGTCTAGCTGGGTCAGGGCAATATAGTTTTCTGAGCCTTGTAAGAGTAGAGTTACCCACTCCTGGATACAAATTCTTTATCTTTGAGAGCGAAAGACCACGTTGGAGCAAAGATTGGAGAACGTTGCGCAAATCTTGTGTTAAACGAGCAGGCAAAATGAAAGTTTTGAAAAAAAATAAGAAAGCAAACAAATAAAGAAAAAACATGAAGAAACTAGCTTCTTTTATACTTTTAGAGTGCTCCTGGGATATTAGATATCCTGAGCATACCGCGAGTAGTTTTTTAGATTTCTTCAATACGTCTATTTGAAGTAAAGATATCAACCATTTTATATCATCTAGAATTACCCACCTAACATTTTTGCCACGTCTCACTTTAGCTGGTTATACTGGGATTAAAATATAGTCCAGCCATAAGATTTTTATATTGCTGTAATCCCTATAGGCTGTTCTATCGAACGCAGTATGGGGTGGCTTTGTTTTCTGAGTTTTGGCAATATACTAGGTAAAAGTCAAGATTATTTGAACGAACGGGACAGTTTTTCCCCCTACAGTAGAATAGCAACATCATCAGCATATAATAAAGCATTAATAGCAATATTAGTAGCATGAGTGGGTGTTATGACGGACCAAAGAGGAGAGGGAGCACATGATGGTGATGTTGACATGACACGAGTGGTGGAGGACGATGCAGCTTGACGCAACAAAGCTGGCAGTGAGTTGATAAAAATACTGAATAAGTGGGGACTAAGGGTGGAGCCTTGAAGCAATCCAGTATGCAGTGAGAGTTCTTGGGACACGCATTGCTGATTCAGCACTGAAATAGAAACATCGTCAAACAAATTGGAGAGCAATGAGACAAGTGGCATTGGAGCACTGGCAGAGAGCAGCGAATTCCAGATCACACGGCGATCAACAACATCATAGGCACTCTTGATATCAAGGAAGCACACAGTTGGCCAGTGGTAGTGTTGGTTCTGGTAGTCTTTCATTAAGTCTTGGAGACTAAGAGCACTATCAAGTGCACTTCTTGCGGATCGGAAACCATTCTGGGCTACATCTAATGGTGGTGAAATGGTGAGGACAAGGGGAGCAAGGCACATTTCAAAGAGTTTTCTCAGTGTACTAGTCAATGAGATGGGCCGAAAGCTTGATGCCTCCGTGACAGGTCCCTTCTTGTAGATGCTACAAACATTACCATGACGCCAATCCGCTGGTGTGTAAGACCATTGATAGGTCAGAGCAAAGAGGTATGACAGAACAGTGGCAAGTGGTTTCTGAATGGGTTTCAGCATTTCACCACGAATTGAATCACGGCCAGGTGCTTTACGGTATGGCAACGACTTGATCTGCTGAATGATATGGTCAATACTAATAATCTCGTCAAAAGCTTCGTTGTGGACCGATGCTGAGACAACACGACGTGTTGGGTCAGAGTCATCATGTGGTAGAGTTCTATGTGAGAGGTATGATGGGATGAAAGGAGAAGCATGCGGATTCAATGTACTGATGTCACCATTTGCCAGACGAGTACCACCAAGATGGGAGGCTGACTGAGGAGGAGGAACACCATATGGCAGATGTCTACCATGTGTAGCAAAAGGGCATGGAGGTCGATTTGTTGGGAGATTGGATCCAGCATAAATGGTAGCAAGGTGATCACGCATAGCATTAGCACCAGCTTGAGCACCGTCCACATGTAGATACCCTGATTGTCTTTGTCGTCTGGATTTGATCAACTTGATTTTTGACATGGCCTTTGAAAAGTCTTGCTTGAATAAAGATTCACAGAATGCGTGCCACGAAACCTGTTTAGCTCTACGAAGGGCTTGTTTGAACTTTTGATGTGCTTCCACATGTTGATTCCACCAATATGCCTTGTCCAATGAAGCGGGACAACGACGATATTTACGATAGAGAGCTTCACGATGATCACAGAGCCGTTGAAGATCGAGGGTCCAGAATTTCTTCCAAAAGTTGGGTCGCTGGGATTGCCGAGTAACGGATTCATCCAGTGCGTGATATATACAATTGGTGAGATCACTGTTGACGGTATCGATTGGAGGTTGTGTATCAGGTGGTGAGCGCACAAGCGAGATCAGCTGTTGTAGCAACGGTTGAGAGAGGGCTGTAAAGCGTTGTGCATACAAATTGCGTACATCCGTTTCTTGTAGACGTGAGAGCTTCCATAGGAGACGAGGTGATGGTGATGGCGTAGCAGGCATAGCAAGAGCAGGTTCGTTTGAGTGGTAATCAAACGTCAGAGACATCAGTTTATGATCAGATCCCAAAGACAAGTCAGAGTAAATACTAATTGAGGAGGAAGAAGGTGGAGATGAGGTATCCAGAGAGGCAAAGGAAAGTGATTCTACATTTGAGATGTAGTAATCGACAATGCTACTTACATTCCGCCCACTACGACGGTCCTCAAAGGTAGGTGTAGAGTGGGCTAATTGACAGTTCAAAACGTTTAATTGATTATCGGCACAGTACTCTTGAAGTAGACGACCACGGTTATTTGTAGAGGAGTCACCAACAAAGCTACCCATGCGGGCATTCAGATCGCCACAGATGATTGTGTCATGATCCAACGGGATCGCATTCAGGATGGAAGAGACATTTTCAGTATAGAGATCCGCTTGCTCAGGTGGTATATACAGACAAATGAGCCGAAGTTCACGACCAAGTTGAATACCCAAAGCAAACTCTTGAAGAGCAGAGGGCAAAGGCGTCTGAAATGCTGTAAGGGGACAGGAAGGGTTGATTAAGCATGTAATGCCACGAGAGCCACGACCACCGCCTGCGACAGTGACGCCAGGTAAGTGGAATTGCTGCCAATTGGTGGGTAGTCGGATGGGATGGCGGTTCAGCCATGTTTCGGTAATGAACAGCACAGAGAAGGATTGGCAATAACGGAGAACATCATCAATGGTGGTATCTCTGAGACCGCGAGCGTTCCAGAGGCCAATGGTGAGTGGAGTGAGTTGAGAAGCGCTATTAATGACTGGAGCCAAAGCTGTAGGAGGAGGAGGAGTAGTAGGTATAGTGTTATTGAGTATAGTTGGTATTGATGAGGACGGATTAGAAGCAGAGAGAGGATGGTCAGGGAGCGAGGAGGATGTATAATGACTGAGAGGACTCTCAATCATTAATACTCTTCTTCGTCGGAATCAGACATGTCAACATCAGATGAGCCAGAGCTTTTCTTGAAACCAGAAGAGCCAAAGATGTTATTGACAGGGGCGACAGAATCAATGTATTCAGTGGTGGTCCAACCATTTTCCAAAAAGTGATTAGCAACAGAAGCAAAAAGACGAGAACGACGATTGGCAAGGTAGACAAGAGACTTGGCACAACGATTGATTTGCAGGTCAAAGGCAGCATCCTCACGCTTAGAGAGGGACATCTCTTTAAACTTGGGGTCAGCGAGGTGTTTGGGATCAGTAGGATCAAAGCCTTCCACAACATTGATGTTGTTCTTGGTGAGAATGGAGACGAGGTTGTCCTTGTATTGCAAATGGACTAGGACGCCAATGATGTTTCTAGCAGGGAACGTTACATCAATGATACGAGAAGCATCAGCTTTGATCAGATGCAAGTTGTTGCGGACTTCAGTGCGAGTGAAGCGGCGAGAGCGGTTAAAGTACACCGTTGTGTAGCCTTTGGGCCCTTCAGGAGCCAAGTTAAAACCACGAGTAATAGCTTGGCGATGTTTGTCAGTTACATCGGCAGGGTTGCGAACCTTTTTGGAACGTTTGATTACTTCGGTCCAAGAGTTGTTGGGAGTCTTTTTGGTGGCATTGGGTGCTTGTTGCGTGGATTGAGTAGCTGAAGAATGAGGTTTGGGTTGCTGTTGAATACCTGATTTGGGTTGCGCTTGAGTGGTTGTGGAACCTTGTTGAGAGTTGAGTTGCTGACGCAGACGCTCATTCTCTTGGGTCAGGGATTCATTTTGTTTTTGGAGATTCAAAATAGTGGTTTTCAAGGCATTTAGCTCTTGCAAAGCACTGTTGTGGGCAGAGATGTCCTGTTGCATGGTCAATACTAGTCTCTGCAGATCCATCTGCGACATGAGAGTAGCTGGTGTATCGGTGTCCATTGTCATTGTTGATCGATACAAAGGTGTTGAGATGTCGAAAGAAAAATATGATGTTTTTTGTGGGTTTTTCAAAAAAGATGAATATCTGTTCAATCGAGCTGAGGTTTTCACAGGTTATACTTCAAGTACTAGGCACTTAATGTATGCTCGTTTGGTGATTACTGCTTTGTTTACTACTGCTTGGATACACTTATTGGAATTTTCTAATCACGTGGTACCTGAATTTTTGGCGGAACGTAATATAAAATTTCAAAAGCGAAAGAAAGGTCGGGGATGTAGCTCAGGCGAAAATTTATGGTTGTTTATTGATTACAATGAATTAGCAATGTAAAAAATATAGACTTATATGCATGCGATCTTTGGATCATTAGTTGCAAGTCCTGAGAAGCGACGTACAGCAAAAAAGCTTAAATTGATAGTTTGATCTCCATGCAGGAACAACATGCAAGTGTCCAGAAAAGGGAAAAAAGGTCCTAAACTAAAAATTAAACTGGTAAAAAAGAAGTACAGGCAGGAAAAAGGAGTAAAACAAGTGAGATAAAAGGGTAGAGAATAAGAAGCTATGGTGTATGAGACATGCAATTGAGGATACCTCGATGTTCAGACAGCAGCACAGACAAAATAAACCCACAGACCTCAGTGGCACAAAAAAAGCAAGAAAAAAAGGAGAAAACGAGGCATTTGCATATAGCAAAATGAGCAGAGAGACAAAGACCAAACGAGAAAGAAGCAGAGAAGGAGGACAAAGTAAATACAGACACTACCATAAAGGCAGCAGAAACAGAAACAATGAGAGTGGGAATGAGAGAGCAAAACGATTTCAACACCAAGGTGTCAATCAGTTATCAGAAGGCTCTGACATTTC